AAATAAGTTAAGAGATTGCTGATAGTAATTATCTGTACTACAGTAGCACAGAGGTTCTCAAACTGTGCTCTACGGACCACTCCATTGAGGTGGGTCATGGATAATTCCCTCTAAGGTGTGCACCTTGGCAGCCACACAAAAGAATGAAGGGCCACCCATCTCGTGCAGGGCTGCAGCAGACAGAGAAAGAGGCAACTTTCCCCAGCTCCAGGGTGCGGCTGCCAGGGAGAGACAGCCATCCTCCCCAGCCCCAGCTCAGGGGCTGCCGCAGCAGGGGAGAGAGGGCACATCCATCACATTAGAAAGGTAAGACTACTGATATTAAAATATGAGTTGTGTGCTTTTATTTGTGGAACAAAAATACATTTATTATTATTAAGGTTTTCTTATATAGCGCTTTTTATCCAAAGCGCTTTACAATAGTTAGCTAACGGAACAAACAACATTTGGAAAGATCATTAAGCGGTCCACTGAGATCGTCAGCAGTTTTCAAGTGGTCCGCAAAAAAAAGGTTTGAGAACCACTGCAGTAGGACATAGATAGCCCAATTGTACTAGATGCTATAGAAATACATAATACAGACCCTTCCTGCCCTTACGAGCTTTCAATCTAAACAGACAAAATAAAGGCTGTAAGAAAGGAAGTATTATACCCATTTTACAGATGGTGAAACGAGGCACAGAAAGATCAAATGACTTGCCTAAGGTCACACAGGAAATCTGTGGCAGAGCCAAAAACTGAACCCAGGTCTCCGAAGTCCTAGGCCGACTCCAGATTGAAGTTCTGCCACCAACGTAGCTACTCCAATACCCAGTGTAGCTTATCCATCACCTTGCAGTCATGCTTACCCCAGTGCACCATGTCTATACTATAGGTTGGCCCCTGTGCAACTATACCAATTCTATACTATTCCACCAGTGGATCAAAAACCCTAGTGTAGACATGGCTTCGAGCAGAGGGGTGACTCATACGACAAAGAAGATAACAAAAACACATGCAAAATTAAAAGAATTACAATTTTACCAAACGTTCTAATGGCAATTTAAAAGAATGCACAATGCATTCAGTTCAAGTTGAGAGGTTGCACTACTTCCTCTTGTAAAAACAGCAAGGCGCTCTGCTTCACTCTGAAACCTATACTTTTAACACTTCTTAGCTGAACAGGTGTGTAGACAAAAAACCTTTTAAAGCTATAAACACTCCAGAAAAACTGGAACGCCTTCTTGGCCCAAGACACCAGGATCCCTACTTCTACTCAGTCTTCCAACTTATTATAGTTATAAAAAAAAACTTCCAGAAATAAACTGATGCAGTGTTCTCTTCCCAAGATCACTCCAGAACCTCTGCTGTTGCTCATAACTACATCAAGGCCCAGCAGAAGGAAAATGATCATTTCAGCTGATACTGCTCAGAAACCCAGCTGTGCAACTCACAGGGGCTGGTGCTGCTCTGGAAAACTGCAGCTAGAACCAGAGGCAGCACCTGAGGCAATGCATGGTGAAGGACCCGAGAGAGGGGGTAGGGCAGAACAGAACCCCTCTTCTCATATACACACCCCCTCCTAACTGCCGGGCAACTAAGAGCCACCACCGCCCCCCACACACACTGCACAGCAGTCAGGAGGTGGAGCATTTTTCAGCAGGCAGCTTTGATAGGAAGAGCAGGGCAGACACATCACTCCCTCCCTGGAGGCTCTCGGGTACAGTGGGAGAGAGAAGAGGGTCTTTCCCCCTTCCCGCACCAAGAGTCGAGTGAGGGGGGGGGGGGGGGGGGAAGCGGCTTCAAACCTGTGAGACGCCTATTAGCTAAAGCCTGGTCCAGAAGACGACGCTGGAGCCCCTGAGCAGGATCCCAGCACCTTCCCACTGCCCAGGGTCCCAGGCGCTATTCTAGCCAAGAAACTAGGGCAAAACGCAAACGCTGGGGAGGCAGAGGGGCGCGGGGGGCTCGCTGGGGGCGAAGCGGGAGCACCCGGCTGCGGAGCCCTTCGCGAAGCGTCGCCGTGTAGACGGCAGAAACCGCCCAAAACCGGGGTCGGGAAGGGACCGAGGCGGATCGCCTCCTCCGCGGGCGGAGAAAGGGGGCCGGGCCGGGCCGGGCCGGGCCGGGGGGCGCACAGGAGTCACGAAGGCAGGAACGGGTCCGGCGAGCGCTGCGGACTCTCCCGGGCTCTCCTCAGCACCCGGGCCCCGCGCGAGGCCTGGGGCGGCGGCGGCCCCCGCACCGCGGGGAGCGGGAGGCGCCGCGCTGCTGCGGGCCGGGGCGGGGCGGGGATCGCGCGGCAGCTCTGCGGGCCCGAGCGCAGCCGCCCAAAGGAGCCGGGGCCCCCCCCGGGGCCGCCGCCGCCGCCTCACCCCCCGGGAGCCGCCGCGGGCGCCGCTCAGACCAGGACCCCCCCCGGGCCCGGCCCGGCCGCAGGAGCGGGGCTCGCACTACCCCCCCCCCGGGCCGCAGGAGCGGGGCTCGCACTACCCCCCCCCCGGGCCGCAGGAGCGGGGCTCGCACTACCCCCCCCGGGCCCGGCCCGGCCGCAGGAGCGGGGCTCGCACTACCCCCCGCCGCCGCCTCTCACCTTCCGACAGCTCCAGCTCCAGCTCGGCCAGGCTCTCGCGCACCTCGGGCGGCAGCGGCACCGCCTCCAGGGAGCAGCCCCCGCGCTCCGCGGCCATGTCCGGCTGGCGCGAGCCCCCGCCCGCCGCCCGCCGCCTCAGGGCAGCCCCCGGCCCAGACAGGCGCCGCGCCGGCCACTCCCCGCCCCGCGCCGCGCGGCCGCTGCCGCAGCCACCGACGCGTGCACTGCGCAGGGGGCGGGGCCGCGAGCCGGGGGCGGGGCTCCGGGAAGGAAAGGGGCGGGGCTCGGGCACTGATCCGGGCGGGGCGGGCGGACTCCATCTCCCAGGCTGCCCCGCGCCTCGTCCGCGGCTACGCCGGCGGCAGGGAGCGGAGAGGGTGCCGGGAAGTGTAGTCTCCCGGCGCGGGGCCGGAAGCGGTCGACCCGCAGTGAGCCCCGCCCCGGGGTGGTGCCGGGGGCGCGGCCGCCCCGCCGGAGCAGCCCGGGGCAGGAGGGCTGAGGGCCGGGCCGCCCGACGGGCAGGCCCCGCTTGCAGCGCAGCGCAGCGCAGCCCCACGCTGCGGGGCCGCGTGCAGACGGTGACCGGGACACTGTAACCCGTCGCGAGGAGGGAGCCTACGGGTCAGCTAGTTTAAGCCCCTGGCAGGAGGCGCTGCGCCTAAAGCAGGGGTCTCACCCGGGGGTGCCGGGAGCCCGCGGAGACCCTCCAGGGGACGCGTCAGCCCATCTAGAGCTGGGCCCAGTGTTACACGAGGCTACGTGACAACCAGGAGCAAAAGCCGTTCAAACTCAAAATTTCATACACTGACTTGTTTACGCCGCTCTAGATACCACCCACTGAAATGCAAGTGCAATATGCACATGGCAAAACGAGACAGTAAGCAGTTTTTCAGTAACCGTTTGCTGTGGCACTTTTGTATTTTTGTGTCTGGTTTTGTAAGCAAGTAGTTTGTAAGTGAAGTGAAACTTAGGGGGTAAGCAAGGCAAATCGGACTCCTGAAAGCAGTATAGTAGTCCGGAACGATTGAGAACCAGTGGTCTAAACCTTCCAAGACAGATGGCAATCCAGCCTCCTTTTGAAAGCCTCCAGTGAAGGAGCTTCCCTGATGATCTCCCTAGGCAGTCTGTTCCATGGTCCTGCTGTTCAGTTAGGAAGTTCTTCCTGAGATTTAATCTAAATCTGTTTTGCTTAATTTGAACCCATTGCCTCTTGTCCTGCCCTCTGTGGCAAGAGAACTTTTCTCTATCTTCTTTTTGGCAGACTTTCAAGTATTTGAAGACTGCTATCATGTCCCCCCCCTTTAATCTCCTCTTTTCTAAACTAAACATACCCAGTTCCTTCAGCCTTTGCTCATAGGGCTTGCATTCCATCCCTTTGATCATCTTTGTTGCTTGCCTCTTCTGGATCCTTTCCAGTTTCTCTACATCCTTCCTATGCATTGGTGACCAAAACTGGAAACAGTACTCCAGTGGAAGCCTAACCACCACCGAGTAGAGGGGTTACTATCACCTCCAGTGACTTGCATGCTATGCCTCTGTTAACACAACCTAAAACTGCATTTGCTTTTTTTGCGGACACTGCTGACACCACAACTCCCAGATCCTTCTCAGCAGTACTACTGCCAAGCCAGTTATCCCCCATTCTGTATTTGTGCATTTGGTTTTTCTTCATTTTATCATCTACAGCCCACTTCTCCAATTTATCAAGATCCCTCTGACTCTTAGCTCTATGCTCCAAAGTGTTTGTAAACACCCACCCACCCTGCTCCTGCAGCTTTGTGTCATCTGCGAATTTCATCTCTATATAACATTAATAAAGATGTTAAACGCCAGACCCAGAACAGATCCCTGTGGAGCCCCACTTGAGCTCTCCCTCCAATCTGACATAATTCCATTAATAATTATTCATTTTTTGCAGTTTAACCAATTATGTATCCACTTAATAATGGTAGTTCCGGCAAGCCAGCATTTCTCCAGTTTAATCATCAGAATGTCATGTAGGACTGTCTCAAAAGCCTTGCTAAAGCCCAGGTATATTATGTCCACCACATTCCCCTGCATTTGATATCATACCTCCATCCTTTCCCACAGCAAGGATAGGCGGGAAAGAAGCTTCTAAACTAACTCACTCAAACAGCCACTCTCTATTCCACGTGGAACTCAGAAGATGGCGGCTTCACGTAGTGGTGGTGGTTGGTGAGAGGATCAGGACAGGAGTTACTTTCAATGTTTGAAAACCCAACATGTCAATCCAAAATTTTCAGAATATAATCACAAGATTTATACATGAGTGCTTCTTACTGATGCATATGTAACTGTTTAGTCGATATTAATGACCTTACTTGCACATGAAAATCTTGAGCAGCTTTACAGTAAGAGCAGCAATTAGATACACAGTGTAGGAACCAAAACCAATACATAGTAAGAATTCGCTAATAAAATGTCATTTTAATAACTTTTTACAAGGAATCCGGCTATACACTTTAGAAAAATAAACATAAAAAAGACACTTTGTGGCTTCCAATACAATGCTGCAGGCACACTTAAGCTGTTAAGGTTAACAGTTATTCCACATAAGTATGTAAAACATTGTAAGTGAATAGAGACTTCCTCTAAAAGTGTAAATGTACTAAAATTTAATAAACCGATTACATAAAAATCTGATGCAAAAACGTCGCATAGACTCAAACCCCTTTATTCAACTGCACATAAGTGTTGGATTTCCTAGTACTCGGATACACAAGAATACAAAAGCATCCACTTCAGAAGCAAGTAGCAACCTGGAGTTTTCGGTCACAGGTCTGAGAAATGCTCTGATCACTTTATGTTTCTCTGGTGAGGTGGTCCTGGAGTGTTTCCTAAATTTAAATAAAACAACCAATGAATACTGGCAACATACTAGTATTTACATTACCAATTGTCACAGTACAGTTGTGCATTACTTTCTGTGGTGATGTTTGCTTACCACTATGAATTTCATGTTGGCTTTGTTGAAAGAGGTGATCTCTTCCACAATCCACTTAGGAACAATACATACAAGGGACTAAATGGCCTATTAACCTGGAGACCTGGATTCAAGACTAGGTTCCTTTCACAAGCAGCAATGAGCTTGACTGTCTGGTCCTAATCTGATACCTTTTATCAGCAACGAAGTGTGATCTCTCTGGGCTGAAGTGTACATGTTAAAGTTTACTGGAAACTAGAAACCATTTTATTCACAACATTGAGAGATTTTGCTGTGACCTTTTCAAACTATTTCCCACATAAACTAAAAGTGTGATTAATAATTAGAGCAGCATTTCTGAGCCTTCTTCCAATGATAGCCACTTTTCTGAAAAATGTCACTGATTTTGCCAAGGTTCGGTAGTAAACTGTTAAACAAAATATTTGATTCTGTGAGGTGCTATCAAGTTTCTATCACAACATATGGGGTAGGGATAGCTCAGTGGTTTGAGCATTGGCTTGCTAAACCCAGGGTTGTGAGTTCAATCCTTGAGGGGGCCATTTAGGGATCTGGGGCAAAAATTGGGGATTGGTCCTGCTTTGAGCAGGGGGTTGGACTAGATGACCTCCTCAGGTCCCTTCCAACCCTGATATTCTATGATATCTGGATTACCTATTCTGCTACCAGGAGTTTCAATAATTATGAAAACCACAGTTTTTCAAATTCATGGCAACAAGCTCTGGTTGAAATCCTGGCCCGACTGAAGTCAATGTCAAACTCCCATTGACTTCAATGAGGCCAGGATTTCACCCTCAATATATAAAATACATCACCTTCAAGTATAATAATAGTTTTTTTCATCTTAATCAGCCTCCTGAAAGTGCTTTGCAAAACTTGGAATTAGAAGCTGATATTAAAATGACCACGTCACTAAAGATAGGAACCATTATATACAGTTAATATCAAACACAGAGTGACATTATTTAGCTTCTAATAACTGGTGAATTACATGATAGCAAGTCCTGGGTTTTCCAATTCAAAATAACTTTTTGTTTAGAAATTTAAGCTATTTAGACTGAGGTTAAAAAGAAAAATGGTTGAAATAGAAAACTGAACCAAAAAAAAAGTTTCCGTTCATGAATATTTTCAGGATTGACTTTTTGTCCTGAATCTAGATGGAAAAAATTTTAGAATTCTTAAGCACATTCGACTATTCCATTCCCTACCCAACTATCTGTATAGCTTTTTAGAGAGCTAGTGGGAATGAAGCAACTTCAATTTAAACCCTCCTCTTACATGCTTAATGTCTGACAGTATAAGATGACAGAAAAGAAGAACTTTTATCTTTGAACAGCTCCAGTTAAGAAATCATTTGTCGAAGTGTCATGCTTTGAATCTTTTAAGATACAATCCGTGAAAGCAGCAAAACTTCACTTCAAAGATGCACATTTTAATCTCCCCTCCCACCATAACAAATGCAAAGTTGTTTCTTTTTAAAATGTTCTTCACATTTTGTGACTATTAAGGACAATATGTAGCAGGCTTTTGAAAAAAGAAGACGAGACTTTAGAAAAGTCTGAGGGATGATGATGTTCATTTTACCTGTTTGTGCACCTCCTAATCTCTGCTGGATAACCTCTAAGCGATGGATGTATTCAGTTAATGACCGTTCGGGGTCTTGAGTAGACACTAGTGACTTCTCCGAAGCTGAACTTGTGGATGGATGTAATCTTAAAAAGAAAAAAAAGAAAAATTAAGCTTCTTCCTTTGTAAAGCTCACAATATACACGCAGAGAAGGTGAGTGAAGCGGTATCTTTTACTGATCAACTTCTGTTGGAGAAAGTGACAAGTTTTCAAACTACACAGAGCTCTTCTTCAGGTGCTAAAGAAGAACTCTGTGTAGCTTGAAAGCTTGTCTGTTTCATCAACAGAAGTTGGTCCAATGAGATATTACCTCACCCACTCTCTCTCTCTAATAGCCTGGCACCAACATGGCTACACCGCACTGCAATATACACACAGCTAAGGCCAGCCTAAATGTCCTCATGTAGTTAATAATTCAGTGCAAGGGAAACTGAAATTTCAAAAACTGTTGCTGTACCTCTCAGCCCCATTCTGTGTAACAATGTGATGAATGAGGATGCGTGGTGTAATATTTGGAATGGAGTGTGAAAGAAAGTAATATCCTTGTTAAGGGCTGGAAACCTAGGAGTCTCAACCCTGCTGATATCTAAGGCCTTGCTACACTACCAGGGTAAGCTGACCTAAGTTGCACTACTCCAGCTACGTGAATAACTTAGATCGACCTACCGCAGTGTCTTCACTGCGCTGCGTTAACGGGAAACACTCTCCCGTGGACTTACCTTACTCTTCTGGGGGAGCTGAAGTACCAGAGTCGACCGGAGAGCGCTCTGCCGTTGATTTAGCGGGTCTTCACTAGACCCACTAAATTGACACCCACTGCATCAATTGCAGCAGCATGGATCTCCCTGGTAGTGAAAAGCCCTAAGAGGTAGCCGCCTAGTGGAAGCAGTTGGCAGGAAATGGCTGTAGAAGGCAGCTCAGGTGCTAAATCTTTTGCTCTGAGAAGTGGTGGGGAGAGCAGAGTTGGAGTGCTGCAAATTCTGTGATGTGCCTCTTAGGGGTACAGCGCAGAATCTCTCCCTTGGTATCTAAGACCCCCTTTGGGACTTGGCCACTGCTCCCTAATATTGAAAAAAACTGCTAAGTTGGAGGTGAGCACGCCCTCCCCCCCTTGCACTTCCCAATATACACACACCTGAAGCCTGCAGGTGTTTGTTACTAATGAAGCATCATAACATTGTGGCATAGCCATCTCAACTAACACATGCCTTTCACACAAGATTATTGAACTTGCTTCTGTGACGACATGCTAATAAACTTCAATTTGTGAGACACAAATAATGAAAAATTGCCTCTGTAGGGAGGGATCATGAACACAAACATTAGAAGTACTTTGTTTTGTCAAAATAACATCATTAGATTTCATTAAGCAAAATATCTCATACCAAGAAATCAAGCACATACTGTGTTTAAAACCATTCAAAACAAATTGGAAATACAATTATGTTCAGCATCATGAGACAAATGTAATACATTTAATAAATGTAAAGAATCAAATTTCCATTCTTGTTCACCTAATCTCCCAACAATAGGTTATATTCTTATGAAAGATTACTATCTGGCAGAACAAATACAATACATTATGTTATACACTAGGTACCTGTTATGTAACCAGTAAGAGGATTTCGGTGAGTGGCTCACAAATCTAGCAGAACTGGTTCTGTGGCACGATCCAATATCTCGGGTAGGAGGGGAGTTTACATTAACACTTGGGAACTGCTGCTGCCTTAAAACTTCTGTTCTAGCACCAGAAACTGTATTAAACAAGTAATAGTCAACCATGAAATTATGCACAAAGAGCCACAATATGTAACAAAACTAGTGAATGATAGCAAAACAACTTTTATTTTGGTTTTAAAGTCAAAGGCTGAGTCCGTATTTTGAACAATTGTTTTTGACAGTATTTGAAAAGGCCAACATTTTAATGTTTGTAGTAATATAACCACTCCACACATACAACTCTCTGACAAATCATGCACACGCACAGTGTTGAAAGCTACCTTGTGTCTTCTACAGTCATTTTTCATGACTATTTTATTATAACACCAGAGGCACTTTCATTCCCTGTTCCTATTTTCAAGCCTTTAATCCCAAATATTTCTTTCAATCAATTCTAAAATCTCATGCTTGTTCTCCTCTGTATCTACCGTATGGATATAATGCTATAGATAGCGAGCAACACAGACATCCACACTTTTTTTTTTTTTTTTTGATGAGGGAGAGGAGACAGGAGTCCAAGAAATTTCAGTCACTCAGTCGGATCCATTTGACCATGAAAAACAAATCACAAAAATTGGCTTTTAAGGAAACTGCCGAGATGTTGTTTTGCATTGAGGTAACAAAATTAGTCATGTTTATTTTTTTTAAAAGATTAAAATTTGGGAGGTACCTAGACCTTAATGAGAAATACAAAGCTTGAAAGATATTTGTTGAGGTATAAAAGTGATATAAGTTAAAAATAGTATAAAGAAAGAAAAGTAATGTCCCACGTACATCGGGAACTGGAAAATGCACTATATATTTTTTGTTGGTTAAATCTGTATTTAGTTCAATATGCAGTCTAATTTTTTATTAAAAACAATGAATTAATGAAAAATGACATCTGAGATATTATATACACAAGTCCATGTATTAAAATCTGTGGTTCTCATAACACATCTATAAGATTAGGCATGGGAACATAATTGCCAGAATGGATCTGATCTCTAATAGTGGTCAGTAACAGCTGTTTTAGAGGAAAGTTCAAGAAATCCCACAGAAAGCAGTTATGGAATCACCTACCAGCAGGGAAAGACCTTTCCCAATCTCTATTAACTAGCTCATGTCATTCAAAAACTTTTGTTTTTTATTTTTAATATTTACAGTAACAACTGTTATCTGTGTGCACGTCCAGTCTCTGCCTTACTGATATCTTGCGGCAATGAGTTCCACCCACAGGGTGACTGTGCATGGTATGAAAGATAATTTCCTTTGTTCAGCTTTAAATGCCTTTCATTCTCACTGCCTGTGCCCTTACACAAGGAGAAACAATTAGCTGCTGGAATGATAAATCCTGAATTCCCCAACTATGGTGAGTGGGATCTCAACCGTTAAGTTGGGGGAACTGATGTTGTAATGGCTTTTTGTGATAAAATATCAAACCATTTCACTACTAAAGTCTGTTAGTTACTACTTAAGAAAGACACGTACTATTGCAAAGAAATGTTAATAAACCACAATTATTTGTTCAAAAGAAATCCTCACCTGGGTTATGTCCGATACTGTGAGAAATGTTTTCTCCCTGTGCCCCTTTTCTGTTTACTTTATGCCATTTTTTCACCAAAAACTTTAACCTTGCAAACAATGTAAAGTTTGTATACGGATTAAAAACAGCAGAAAAACAAAAATTCACTTAGTTGAAATATTAAACAAACATATTAAACAATATAAATAACAACCCCAGAAAGGAACTGGGAGCACAAAGATATCCAATTTAAGTCTCCTGGGCATAGGCTTATCAAATAGTTTACTGTGCTAACTGCCCTTCGGATATTTATTAAACGGCTGATGGAGTCAGACAAGAAAATTCAGAATTTATAAACTGGTTTTAAAGCAGAGCTTCTCCCTACATTGCACCAAGTTGAGAGAAACATGTCATCCCTTGACTTTAGCAAAGCTTTTGATAGTCTCCCACAGTGTTCTTGCCACCAAGTTAAAGACGTGCGGGCTGGATGAATGGACTATAAGATGGATAGAAAGCTGGCTAGATCATTGGGCTCAACAGATAGTGATCAATGGCTCCATGTCTAGCTGGCAGCCAGTATCAAGCAGAGTGCCCCAAGGGTCGGTCCTCGGGCTGGTTTTGTTCAATATCTTCATTAATGATCTGGAGGATGGCGTGGGCTGCACCCTCAGCAAGTTTGCAGATGACACTAAACTGGGAGGAGTGGTAGATACGCTGGAGGGTAGGGATAGGATACAGAGGGACCTAGACAAATTAGAGGATTGGGCCAAAAGAAATCTGATGAGGTTCAACAAGGACAAGTGCAGAGTCCTGCAGTTAGGACGGAAGAATCCCATGCCCTGCTACAGACTAGGGACCGAGTGGCTAGGCAGCAGTTCTGCAGAAAAGGACCTAGGGGTTACAGGGGACGAGAAGCTGGATATGAGTCAACAGTGTGCCTTGTTGCCAAAAAGGCTAACAGCATTTTGGGCTGTATAAGTAGGAGCATTGCCAGCAGACTGAGGGACATGATCATTCCCCTCTATTTCCCCTCTTTGAGGCCTCATCCAGAGTACTGTGTCCAGTTTTGGGCCCCACACTACAAGAAAAATGTGGAAAAATTGGAAAGAGTCCAGCGGAGGGCAACAAAAATGATTAGGGGGCTGGAGCACATGATTTATGAGAAAAGGCTGAGGGAACTGAGATTATTTAGTCTGCAGAAGAGAAGAACGAGGGGGGATTTCATGTTGCAGTGGGGGAGGTTTAGGTTGGATATTAGGAAAAACTTTTCCACTAGGAAGGTGGTGAAGCACTGGAATGGGTTACCGAGGGAGGTGGTGGAATCTCCTTCCTTAGAGGTTTTTAAGGTCAGACTTGACAAAGCCCTGGTCGGGATGATTTAGTTGGGGATTGGTCCTGCTTTGAGCAGGGGGTTGGACTAGATGACCTCCTGAGGTCTCTTCCAACCCTGATATTCTACGATTCTATGAAACGACAGTTATCCCAATTAAAAAAACCCTATTAAGTTTCACCCCCTCTGCCAGCTGTAACAGAATGCAGTGAACACAAACAAGAAAGGTGTAATACTAAGGAACAGGATGAGAACCTCTCTTAACATATTCCCTATGAAGACATAAGATGCCATTAGGAGACTTTCACGCAAAGGTTTTCAAGATTCTATACTGGGGCAGGAGGAGACAAAAGGAACAAAAGCATAAACAAGCTTCTTATAGTGAAATGTTAATTTACTTTTTCATTTTAATGTATTTGACATTTTCTCCCTTCCTCCTTTGTGTGTGTGTCTGTCTAAAATGTTTAAAAAAGTCACGTTTGGTGACATACAATATGCAAAAGCAAGTCCCTGGTAACAGAAACCCAGTCCCAAAAGACTGTTCATGTGGCAGTAAGAAAAGGAACAAATAGGGTAATGCAATTATAACACCCTAAAAACACCATCCAATCCCCTCAACAGTTCCTGCTTTCCCTTTGTTTTGTCTCTGAGCAAAGCAGATCCTTCCCTTTCTCCCTCCCTGCTCAGCGTGGGCAGAAGGTTTGTGGCACCTTTCCTCCGTACCCCTTATGAATGCATGATGTTGGAGGATGCCCTCCACTATACTGCAGCCTTTGGGGGCTGTAGGGAGCCCTGGGGCAGCTCCTCATGCTCCACAGGATTGGTCACTGGCTTCCTGCTCCTGCATGTCATCCTGCTGCTGTTGCCATGAAAGCTTCCCTCTCAGGTATAACAAAGTACATCAGCAATTATTAACCTCAACCAATCACACTTTTACCAAGTGAGGGAAAAAGACTCAGGAGGAACCACCTGTTACATTTAGAACAAAATTATTGTTAAATGACCTCCAACCAATAGGGAGCTGGGTTTTTCATTTTGAAATTATCTGCTTATTACAGATTGATCCTTTGTGGATAAATCAATGTGACAAGCTTCGTGACGGATGAAAAGTAGACTTGTTGGCAGAACTCAGAGGAATGTACTCATCGCTGATGAAGCATGAATGAGGTCAGATGGAAGGATTAATACTTCAGGCCAATGACTGGTGATACAATAGTCTCCTATGGGTTAGGATACACCCAGTAAGCCCAGACAGAGGGGACATTGCCTGAATGGGTCATTCCTTCACAGGTGCTACATGTGAATACAGATACCAGATACTATGGGGTTGGGTGCAGTATAAAAATAGACAGATGCAGCTTTCAGGAAGCAATATTTTAAGGTATTCTAATAAGGCACATATGAAACACATTGGCCTTGAACATGCCATATTGGTTAAACACACAATTATTGGCTAAGTAACACTTTGAAATAACTGTTGAACAAATCTTTCACTCCAGAGTAAGGGAATTACAGCTAAGCAGTTCTACAAATGAAAAATCTGGGGAATGTATTGTGGATGCTGTAACATTTACAAGGAAAACATAGGAAAATTATTTTATGAGTTTGTTTTTACCTTGATACTGCAATGACCACTCTCACCGCAGATCTGAACTTGGTAAAAGGACGGGAACGTGATTCAGAGACCTGCAGGTCTGCAGGCGAAGGATAGACTCCCATACGAGCTATCAGCGACAGCGTTGCTTGCTCACAATCCTGGAATCCACCCAGAAGCAGAAGAAGGTATTTCTTCTGATAAACGAGAGCCTTTCTAAAACTCTCTGCTCGCAGATACTTCCTGTATAATTTCTGCAACTGAAAAAAACCCAAGTCATTGAAATTTAATTAAGGACACCTGTACACTCATCGTATAGCCAGATCTGTTTACTCCCACAAGTTCTCCCACAACCTGTTTTCCGTGGCTTGACAAAAGCTAGCTAAAGCGATTTTACTTTGGAAAATTGTGCGGAAGGCCATATAATAAGAACTGCTTCTAAAACTTTTAAGAAATTGTATAATGTTTTTGAAAATGAAACTTCCAATTAAAATTTGCATTACTGAAGCTCCTGCTAATATGGACCATTTACTGAAAATTAACAGTGTTTGTGATACTGGCAGCATGGAAGTCTTACATGAAGGTCTGTAAGGCTGCTATACCTCTATCTGTCTATGAGGCCTTGTCTACACCAAGGAATTTTTGCAGGGTTACTTGACCTGTCAAGTAAGGTTCTAAGAACAGCTGCCAGAAGACATCTGCATTAGTGCTTCCAACATTGCTGATATGAGGGCAGCTACAACAGCAGCTATTTGCTAGCATGGACAAGGCCTCATGTAACTAACTTTACAGGCATTTGATTTTGGACAATCCAATTGTCTTAATATTTGTGAGCTTCTGAACACAGTATTCACACCCGACACTGGGAAAATGGTTTCACTGTTTATCTTCTAGAACGGGATTTGTGTTAACTAGTTAATGTGAATGAGCATGCATGTTGGATTCAATGTTAATCTAACTTGATCACAATAAAATTGTCACAAAGGGGTTAATAGATGCTTCTGAAGTTCAAAGGAAAGTATGCACTGAATACATAATATTCACGGATGGTTGGTAAGTTCTTGTGACAGACAAGAGGCTCGTGTCTCCCTCAGACAGCTTTTAGACCGCAGAGAAGCCTGAGAGTTACAGAGGAATTTGTATCTTAAATGACTTGGCAAAAAGAGTAACTTTTCTTATTGAAGACATATGCGGAAGAGTATTTTTGAACGGCCTTGTGAACAACATGTTATCTAACTATCACTAACCATCTTTTGAAAGGTGACTGCAAAGCTTTTCCTAAAAATTGAAAACTTGTAAGATTCCAAAAGTGTAAACTATAAATGCAGTATATATAGCAGCAAAATAATTCTATATTTAATGAAAATTACCTAATATCCTGACAAATATGAGATGCAGAGATCTTGGCTTTTGTTACAGCAAGTACGATCATATTTATCATGAACAAAGAGAATTCAAATCGAATTCGGAATAGGATGATTTTTCTTTTTTAACCTTCTTTATGGGTATCCACTTAAAACTGCAGCCTGGGTTTCCCCAGAAGTCAAGGGTCTCGATGCGGTAACTGTCTCAAATTGCGTTAAAATAAATGGAGTCCATTGCTAACAATGGGTATATACTTCATCTACTCTCTGACTCCTACTCAAGAGGTTCTGTCTTTTTTAATTAAATATATGCTTCGATTCAAATTTAAGATTAGATCTATGCAGAGGATAACTATGTTCATGAAGTAAAGTAAAACCTACCTGTTTAGTTTTTCTAGAATATGATTTAAACGGATACCACCAATTTGAAATCTAGTGAATTTCAAAAAACATATTAAGTAGTTTAAATATTACCCCAGCCAATTTCTATTGTTTAACAATGTTTTTAAAGATTTTTCTTCCCATGTTACGTGTGAAAGAGCCAAACAACAGGGGAAACTGACTGGCTCTAAAGAGAAAACAGTGGACTAACTTTAAACACTGTGCTATGGAAGGCACAAAATACAAAAATGGGAAAAAACTAGGGTTTTTTTCCCCTCTCTAATCTTTGGTTACAGTTACTTTAGACAGAGCAAACAAGCATAACAGCCTCTTCCCTGAAAATCCACCTGGAATGCATGAAGTAACAAATTTAGTTAAAACTAGGGCTGTCAAGCGATTAAAAAATTAATCACAATCACTCACGCTATTAAACAATAACAGAATACCATTTATTTAAATATTTTTGGATGTTTTCTACATTTTCAAATATATTGATTTCAATTACAACACAGAATACGAAGTGTAAAGTGCTCACTTTATATTTATCTTTGATTACAAATACTTGCACTGTAAAAAACAAAATAAATAGTATTTTTCAATTTACCTAATACAAGTACTGTAGTGCAATCTCTATCATGCAAGTTGAAAAACCGGTTACCTACCTCTCGTAACTGTTGTTCTTCGAGATGTTTTGCTCATGTCCATTCCAAATCCAACCCGCCTCCCCTCTGTCGGAGTCTTCTGGCAAGAAGGGACTGAGCAGGCGGCGGGTCGGCAGTGTCCTATATACACCGCCACTATATGAGGGCGCCATTCCAGGGTGCTTCACAGTCTACCCAACGTGAACCGCTAGGGGAAAATCCTTTCGACAATCATGCGTACACACTTATTGGAATGGACATGAGCAACGCATCTCGAAGAACAACAGTTACGAGAGGTAGGTAACAGTTTTTCTTCTTCGAGTGCTTGCTCATGTCCATTCCAATATGTGACTCCCAAGCAGTTTCTTTGGAGGAGGGGTCGGAGTTCAGCTGATTGTAGGACTGCCCTGCCGAATGCTGTGTCATCGCTTGTTTGGTGGGTGATGCCATACTGTGACGTGAAGGTGTGGATGGAAGACCATGTTGCCGTCTTGCATATGTCTCGAACAGGGACGTGTGCAAGGAAAGCTGCGGATGAAGCCTAAGCTTTCGTGGAGTGCGCCGTCAATGGCAGGGGCGGAACGTTGGCCAGGTCATAGCATGTTCTAATGCAGGATGTGATCCACGACAAAATGCGCTGGGATGAGATGGGAAGCCTTCTCATCCTTTCGGCGATTGCAATAAGGAGCTGTGGAGACTTACAAAATGGTTTTGTGCATTCAATGTAGAAGGCTAGGGCACAACTGATGTCCAGGGAATGGAGCATCCACTCTCTGTCAGTGGCATGAGGCTTAGGGAAGAAGACTGGTAAAAATATGTGCTGATTCACATGAAACTGGGAGATCATCTTGGGTAGAAACGCAGGGTGATGACGCAGCTGAACCTTGTCTTTGTAAAAGACAGTATGGGGGGCTTGGAGGTAAGCTCTTTGAGCTAAGACACCTTTCTGGCTGATGTTATAGGCACCAGAAAGGCAACCTTCCAAGAGAGGCAGGAGAGAGGGCAGGTGGCCTTGGGCTCAAATGGAGGGCCCATGAGCCTGGACAAGACTAGTTGAAGTCCCACTAGGGAATGGGCTGCCGCACATGGGGGTAAAGCCTGTCCAAGCCCTTAAGGAATCGGCCCACCATGGGGTTTCCAAAGACTGATCTACCCGTTGCCCCTGGTGCGAGGCTGAGGTGGCAGACAGGTGCACTTTTATAGATGATATTGCCAGCCTTTGTTGTTTCAGGTCCAGTAAGTAGTCCAAAACAAGGGGAATTGGTGCTTGCTGCGGTGGGATATCCTTCTGCAGGGACCAAATAGAAAACCGCTTCCACTTTGCCAGATATGTGGCTCGGGTGGAAGGTTTCCTACCTCCCAGGAGAACTTCTCTCACTGAGTCCGAACACTGGAGGTCCAACGGGTTCAACCATGGAGTTTCCACGCCGTGAGGTGGAGGGACTCCAGGTTGGGGTGCTGGAACTTGCAGTAGTCCTGAGTGATAAGGTCTGGGCATAAGGGAAGGGTTACTGGTCTGTCGACCAATACGCTTAACAACGTATTGAACCTGCGCTGGCGGGGCCACGCCGGCACTATGAGGATCAACGAAGCTCTGTCCTGGCGGACCTTGAGAAGGACTCTGTGTATGAGAGGGCAGGGCAGGAATGCATAGAGCACGTGACTCATCCATGTGAGGTGAAAAGCGTCTGCGATGGAGACCGCTTGCTGATTAGCAACGCGAAGCTGGAGCCCCCTGGTCGAGCTGACTTTACGGCCAAAAAGGTCCAGCTTCTTAGCGTCCCGCGACTTTGGAACGGGACCTGGTTGACTCTGCCACTCTTTGTGGTTCGCCGCATCCACCACTAATGTTCCAGGCTGAGAGTGGGTAAAAAGGTGGTCTGCCATAGCACCTTTGGGGTGTTTTGTATGGTCTTGTAAGGGGCAAGGCTAACCTAGAGGTACCCTCCTGGGCAAGAATGTCCACCATTGGGTTTGAGTCTTCTGACACCTCCTCAGCCTGGAGGGGTTAGTTTTGCGCCACCCTCCTAAGAAGGTCCTGATGCGCCCTATTGTCCATCACAGGGAGTGTGGTGGCGGAGGTGCCAGCCACTGCCTCATCCGGTGAAGAGGATGATGAGGCCCGTGGGACCGGGTCCTCCTGATCCTCAGGCTCTCTGGAGGCTGGCTCTGGTAGGTCTGCCCTATTTGGGGCAGACTGTGGCACTGGTACCACATGGGGTGCTAGTTCAAGAGTTGCACCCGTTTGCGAAGACCCACTCAGTCTTACTGCCTTTGGAATGATGGCCAAAGCATGAAGGGACATACGAATGTTTAGCATATCTGGCATGTAAATACCTCACAACGCCAGCTACAAAAGTGCCATGTGAACACCTGTTCTCACTTTCAGATGACATTGTAAATAAGAAGCAGGCAGCATTATCTCCCATAAATGTAAACAAATTTGTTTGTCTTAGCGATTGGCTGAACAAGAAGTAGGACTGAGTGGACTTGTAGGCTCTGAAGTTTGCCACTGTTTTGATTTTGAGTGCAGTTATGTAATAAAAAAAATTCTTCATTTGTAAGTTACACTTTCACGATAAAGAGATTGCACTATAGTACCTGTATGAGGTGAACTGAAAAATACTATTTGTTTATCATTTTAACAGTGCAAATATTTGTAATAAAAAACAACATAAAGTGAGCACTGTACACTTTGTATTCTGTGTTGTAATAGAAATCAATATATTTGAAAATATAGAAAATCATATAAAATATTTAATACACTTCAATTGATATTCTATTGTTTAACAGTGCGATTAATCATGATTAATTTTTTGAGTTAACCGTGTGAGTTAAGTGTGATTAATTGACAGCCCTAGTTAAAACTATACACATACTTCAATTAAACCTTTGATATTAGCTATCTGAACAGGGCTCAGACAACATAAATCTCAATTCCACACATCAAGTATTAAAATGATGCCAAAGTATCACAGTCTTTCACCGAACAATTTTATTCAACATTAATCTCCTGCATATCTCAGTTTACAGAAAGGACTAAAACAGTTACAAAAATGATCATCCTTGTACAGGAGACTACCTCAAGAGGAGCTAGCTGCATCCCTACCTGAGGGAAGGATCACTAGCCTGCAGCCAAGGCAGTCACCAAGGAACAAGCACCATCTCCCTGGCCAGAAGAGACTGAGGAAGAGGCCTAGGAGCAGCTGGCTTAAGACAGAACCGGATGAAAAAAGGTTCCGACCCTGCCATACCTTACAGCTGCCCTGGTACCGCAACAGGATGCCACCCAGAGTCCATGAGGGGTCACTACTAGAGACAAGCCACCACTGCAACTTGGATTATAGGGGTCACTCCCCAAACTGACGGGACAACAGTAGGAAGTAGCCCAGGACAGTGGATGTAGACTCCCCACTGGTACGTCCCTTACTCAGGGGTTGACTTCCAAAGAATCCTGAGCTGAGACCTGATGGAGTGGGAGGGCCTGGCTCCTCCTAGCTCCCCTGCAGCCTTAAAGACTGAGGCACCTTGACCAAGCTGGGGGCTGGAAAGCAAGCGTTCCAGCCACTAGGCCACCCAGCCCTCCAAGCCCTCTGTCACAATTATTTAAAGAAACATTTCTGTAAAGTACTCCAGAACAAAATATAGGAAATGATGATGCACTGGCTGGGGGAATGGAACACTCGCTAAAAAATTTAACAAGTCTAATCCTGAAAAATCTGTGTGTTCAATGGAATACACACATTTAAGCATGGCAGATTTATGCACAAAAATGCCACAGTTGCATGAACTAAACCAGGATGTGCAAACATATTTGGCCAGTTATGACCCTATATAGCCACATTTGCCCCAAAATACCTAATTTAAACAAGAAGTCATGGGATTTGTATAAATAAATTAGATACTTGCAAACATGCTTGTATATTCAAGGTATGTCCACACCTTAAATACAGTGAGCAGTTCTGGTCTCCCCCATCTCAAAAAAGATATATCAGAATTGGAAAAAAATACAGAGAAGGGCAACAAAAATGATTAGGGGTATGGAATAAATTCCACATGCAGACAGATCAAAAAGACTGGAACCGTTCAGCTTAGAAAAGAGACGACTAACGGCAGTTATGAGAGAGGTCTATAAAATCATAAATAGTGTGGAGACTGTGAATAAGGAAGTGTTATTTACCCCTTCCCATAACACAAGAATCAGGGGTCACCCTATGAAATTAATTGGCAGCAGGTTTACCCCAAACAAAAGGGAATACTTCTTCACGCAGTGCACAGTCTACTTGTGGAAATCATTGTCAGTGTGAAGGATTTAGCTGTGAAGCCTAAAAGTACAACTGGGTTAAAAAAAGAATTAGATAAGTTCATGGAGGATAGGTCTATCAATGGCTATTAGCCAAGATGGTCAGGGACGCAACCCCATGCTCTGTGTCTCCCTAAACCTCTGACTATCAGAAGCTGGGACTGAAGATAATTGCCCTGTTCTGTTCATTCCCTCTGAAGCACTTGGCACTGGCCACTGTCGGAAGACAGATACTGGCCTAGATGGACCTCTGGCCTGACCCTGCATAGCCGTTTTTATGTTATCTTACAAAGTCAGGCTCAAGATGTTTTTTCCTGAAAAAATTACACTGTGCATCCAATTCAACCATATGTAAGAAATATCATTCCATCTTGTAAAAGTGTCACATGTTAATTCTGAGACATGAATAATAGTAAAAATAAGTGTCTCATCACATTTTGAGGAGAATCTTAAAGCAGTTTCCAAACATTATTTCACAACAAATCTGTACCATAGGTATATGAAAATATGGGTAAACTACAGTACAAATTCTCTGTGGTCGTGGGTGTAGCAACCTGACTGCTCTCCAGAGTGCATTTCTGATCATATTTTGCAACATCCATTTTACCTTTGGGTTGGAAGTTTCCATAATTGGCTTGTTTTCAATTTCAACAGTAGCTTTAGCCAGCTCAGATTCTGCCTGTTTCAAAGCATTCTGCAAAATAGTTTTTTCTCGCTGCCAGGAAGCCCTTTCTGATCCCTGGACGGAGTAAGCATCATCTGTAGAGCGAATCTAAAAAATGAAATTCAAAGAAAGAATATAAAATAACCATCAAGGTTCACTACTTCCAAAGGAATGTAAAAGTTATATCTTTTAAGACAAATTCAATAGTAAATTGACTTTAAGGAAAAACTAGAATGCCAGAATAATTATACTGGAAATTTCCAGCAGCAACAAGATGTTATCCAGATAGGATGGGAATTTCAAGTAGAACTTCAGTCCATGTTAACAAGTAAAGAAAATTAGACAGTCCTTGCCTAAAAATCTTAGTCTTATTAGTTGATATGTCTCCCATTCACCTTAATACCAGAGAGACTCCAAAATGTTTAAAAATAGAAATACTAATCTCAGTCTTCCTTCCCACCCTATATGTAGCAGAAAGAGCTTGATTTGCTTATATTTTTTGTATGCTATGTACATGCATAGAAATTACTCATGAATTTGAAAAAGTGGGTTCTGCACTTAATTCTGAGAGCAGTTATTCTCATCTCATATGGTCACTCTCATCTCTTGTGGGAATGAGTTCCCTGCTCCAGGTCCAGCTCCAGTGAAAGATCAGTCCCTTGTGCTCACAAGCGTCATTCTATTGGTTAACCCTTCCAGGGTTGGAATGGAAGTGTAACTATCACAATAGGGTATGGCAACAAAGGGTGGGGAAATCTCTCAGGTAACTAGGTCAAATCCTTTGGAGTCTATGTTCAACAAAAAAGCAGGGCATAGAATAGGGTATCAAGGTGACATGCTGACAGTGATCTATGTTACTTGGCAGATGAGCTGCTGTTTGTGCAGATTTAAGCTTTATCAGTATGCATAGCATTATTTCTCAATAATCAATTAATATACCATCACACTTCGAACAATGAAGGGCACTGCATATCTGATGAACAGAAAACCCCAATACGTACTGGACCATGCAGGTCTAGTATATTGGTATTTTATTAGCATCAGGCCAGCAGGTAGTTGCCTTCAGTCTCCTGCCGTGTATACAGCTATGCGACAGCAAAGAGAAAAATATAAATCAAATAAAAATGAATATATACCTGTCTGTTACCAATTCCCCTATGATGCTGCTGCTGAAGATTCTTCTCAAATTGACAAATTGCTGCTCTTAATTCTAATTTCTCCTCTGTCAGTGTTGTTACAGACTTTGTAAGTTCTCCATTTTCTTTCAGCAACAAGTCTACCAGAGAAACTGAACCTTGCAGTGGTTTCTTTTTAAAAAAATTGGGGAAAAACAAATTTGAGTTCTACTAACATTTATAGCTTCACCAAGCAATAAAACAGACTGCAGTAATTTTCATTTTTAAACTTTACAGTAGAAGGAGGCAAAGCATAAATTGCTGCTCTCCTCTATAAAAAACACAGTTGAGAAACCACTAAACCAGCCATTTTATAGAGCTGGTAGAAACCATCCAAAGATCAACTTTTTGACAATTTGACAGGAGAAAACTGGAAAAAAGATAAACAAAATTTGTGTGAATTTTTGAAAGGTTCCGACCAGTTACAGAGATTGTCAGATGTATTTATTGTGAAAAGTGTCAATGAAATTTAAAAAAAAATAGTAAAAATGTTTTAAAAAAGTTCACATTTTTCCACTAGCTCTACTATTCAAGCACTTAAAATAAAAATATGACTATAAAACAAAATGCAGCAAAACTGAAGTATTAAAATTAATTAGAAAAAGCTTATAAATGATACCTTTGTTCTCTTACAATGTTATTTTTTAAAAACAGTATTACATTGTTGTCTAGCAATCATTGAGTCAGAGTTTCAGGCCAGAAGGGCACACCAGATCTAGTCTTACCTCTTATATAGCATAGGCAATCACCCGCACACTATACCCAACAATCAAAATGGGCCAAAGCTGCCATATACACAATAAACAATTTTATACTGACTTTTAAAATTATATACTGCATTGTGGTGTACCTGGAATTTTCAAATTCAAATAACTATGTAGATCCGTTTATTTAAAATGTACACTATTGCAACTTCCTTATTTCTTTGAAAAACAAGCCACAAGAAAATTAGAGGCAAAGAACTTCATTATAACACTACTATGGTCATTCGTGTACATGAGGTACACAAAAAAAACTTTTTTCGGGGGGTGCAGTGAGGGGGGAGATCAATGCAACATGGATCTCTAAGGGAGAATTGTGCCCCTAGGCAAACTAAACTCTTTGGGCCAGATCATCAACTGGTGTAAGTCATTGTAGATCATTTTGGAGCCAGTTATTATTTACTCTAAGGTCACTTTAGCATGACCTGGCGGAATAAAGGAGGCTTAAAACGGGAATAAATTATATTTATACCTATTGTAAGGCTGCTTTAAACAGAGAGAGGCATAAAGACGTCTTCATATGAGAATCAAGCCTACTGACTACAATGGAGTTTTGCTGATATACAGCAGCTGAAGATATGGCTTGGTTTACACAACAAAGATATATTGGTATAGCTATGGCATTATGAAGTGTAGTAACAGGATTACTATAGAAGACACAGGAGGTAACTGTTCTGCTTGACTTCACACTGGTTAAGTCTCACCTCGAGTAGCGTGTCCAGTTTTGAGCACCACACCAAGAAAGATGCGGACAAACTGGAAAGAGTCCCAAGAAGAGCAACATGAATGATAAAAGGCTTAGAAAACATGACTTAGGACAAGGGTTCTCAACCTTTTCCTTTCTGAGGCCCCCCTGACAATGCTACAAAAACTCCAAGGCCTAACTGTGCCACAACGACGGTTTTTCTGCATATCCCAGAGATTAAAAGCTGAATTAAATGGATTGTTATACAGTTACACACACACACAAAATATATAAAAAAGACAATATAGGCACAAAAATAAACTGAATATTATTTTTATTTACTCAGTGTGAAACTTCTTGTCACTGATCAACAATTCTGTCAAGATGTGGGCATATCTTTGACAAGCACACGCACATCTCATGGTCAATGTTCATCTTGGTTCGGTGCTTTGTTTTCATTGATATCATGGCTGAAAATCCAGCTTCGCATATGTAGGTGGTACTAAAGAGGATCAAAATTTTCAGTGCTGCAGAAGCAGCAGTGATGTACTCATTGGAACACTCACACCAAAATTTCTCCAGCGGCATTTCTTTGAACTTGGTTCTGAGGGAGCTGTCTGATGAAATGTCAATGAACTCGTCTAACAATTTTGATGGAACATCGGATGGAAGCTTAGCTTCAATGTTCTCACTGAAAGGGTTTGTAGTCCACGTCTGTAGCACCTTGTTGCTGTTGTGAGTTTGGGAAAATAAGCATTACATTTGTTAAGCAGACCAGACAGATGTGCTGCTAGCTGAGGTTTAATTACATCAAAGTCCATGTTTTGTTCCTGAATGAAAGAATGTAAGAGCTCAAACAGATCACTAGTGCCCCCACAGACACGAACTTTCCAGAGTTGTAGTTTTCTTTTGAATGCCTCAATTCTTTCATGCTGGGCAATAAAATTAGTGTTCCCACATTGCATAGCTTTATTCAGCTTATTCATTTCACTGAATATGTCTGCGAGATAACCCAGTTTTGCCAGCCACACATCATCTTTCAGCACTTTGGCAAATTCAGTTTTCATATCAACTAAGAAAGTACATAACTCTTCCTTGAGATTAAATATACAGGCAAGCATTCTGCCTCGAGATAGCTATCTCACCTCTGTATGCATGAGCAAGAAAAGGTACTCTGCACCCACTTCCTCACAAAGTGCAGGAAAACACCTGGAGTTTGTTGCTCTGGATTTAATAAAATTAACAAGCATTCTTCTGAAGACCTGGTTCAATATCTTTTCCAGCAAGCGCTTCTCGGTGTAAAAAGCAGTGTGTCCAAATAGCACGAGGTGCAACGACTTTTACTTTGCACAACACCAGAATGCTTTGCAGTCATTGCTGTGGCTCCATCAGTGCAGACCCTAGTGCAATTAGTCCAGCTGATTTCTGCTGAAATCATAAAATCATCTAACAGTTTGAAAATGTCGTCTGACTTTGTTGTTGTCTTGAGCTCTTTGAGGAACAAAAAGTCTTCCTTTATTTCTTTATTCCACACATACCAAACATAGGCAAGTAAATGGGACATTTTTGAAATGTCTGTGGATTCATTTAGTTGTATAGCAAAATCATTTTGTCACACAGCCAATCAATACACTGAGAAATTAAGTCTTTTGACATAAAAATGATCTGTCGTCTGACAGTGTCATTAGACGTTGGTATTTTTGTCAGTATCTTGGCCTTCTCCTCTCCAAACACTTCCTTTGTTACTTCAATAACACCTGGCATCAAAATCTCAGCAATCATAAGTGATTTTTTTGGTTTTGCAATTTTCTGCACCACTATGTAGGATGACCTTAAAAGCTTTTTATCTGCAGTAGTTGTGGATTTCATTACTGCTTTAGTACCAAGCAGTTCCTTGGCCTTTCACTCAAAAAATGAACAGTGCTTATCCTTATAGAGTTCATGTTTTGTAATTAAATATCTCTGTAATTTGGAGGGTTTCAAACATTCAATGGACAATACTTGTGCACAAATTACACACTGCGGTTGAGGTATACCTCCATTTCTGGAACAAATAAAACCAAAATTCAAATAGCTGTCTTCAGACTTCCTAAATTTTGTGAGGTTAATAGCGGCTTTATGTTTCTTATTCACATCACCTCCTTGATGTTCTTCAGGCACTATGGTGGTTGAACTTGTTGAAGGAAGTTCCGCACCACTGTCCTGTGGATTTAGTTGTTTTGAAGCTGATGGTCAAATTAAAAATTTATCCATTTATCTGATATTATTTACACTTACAATTTTTTTTTCCTGTGCTGTGGAACTTGTCCTGCTCCTGTTGAACTAGTTCCTTTACAACCAGTAAAGGGAGCTAGTTAACTTGCAATGCTCGCGTCAAACTCACTGGGCCAAGGGCAGAAACCAAGGAGTGAGCCCTTGCATGCAAAGTCTCTGTGGGCAGAGCCAGAGCTGGGCCAGAAGGCCTTAAGGCTCACCGGGCAGGCTGGGTGATCCCCACCTCAGGGGCTGACCCAGAAGTCTGAGCCCCGACCTTCCATGCAGGAAGGTGGGGCTTGAGCTTCAGCCCACTGGGGGGCAGGGCTTCAGCCCCCGGCTAGCTTCAGCATGGTCACTGGGTCTCAGATTCAGCCCTGGCTCCCAGCTTTTGCCCTGTGGGGGCATGCAGGCTCTGGGTTTCAGCCACAGCTCCCAGCTTCAGCCCACGGCACCGTGGCTTCAGCCCCACGGCAGCACTGGGGCTCAGAGTTTCAGCCCACAGCTCCCGGCCGCTGCCCCTCCCCTTCCCCCTCTCCCTCCACAGCACCAGGGCTTGAGGCTTCAGCCCCATGGCGGCACCGGGACTCAGGGATTTAGTACGGGGCTTAGGGTTGCAATCCTGCAGCTCCCAGCTGCTGCAAGCCCCGCCGCAGGCTTTGGGGATCCAGGCTTCAGCCGTGGGACCCCACAGACCACTGACCTATGAGGAACTGTTAAAAAACATGACATATTTAGTCTTGAGAAAAGAACAATGAGGGGAGACCTGATGATAGTCTTCAAATGTGTTGAGGGCTTTTATAAAGAGAATGGTGATCAACTGTTCTTCATGTCCACTGAAGATAAGACAAGTAGTAATGTGCTTAATCTCCTGCTGATATAAGGAAACTATCCTTATAGTTAGAAAGATTTAAAGTATTAGAATAGCTTCCAAAGAAGGTTGTGGAATCCACATCACTGGATGTTTTTAAGAAGAGGTTGGACCTACATCTGTCAGGGATGGCCTAGGCACACTTGGTCCTGCCACAGTGCAGGGGGCTGGACAAGCTGGCCTCTAGAAGTCCCTTCCAGTCCTCCATTTTTATGATTCTATGACTGTCTCATGGACCACTCTCCTTCCATTCACAATCACACATTCCACCTACCTTCCAATTATCATCAACAACATCCCTTTGACAACTACAGCAATTACTCACTTGAAAAGTAGTAAAAGGAAAGTACTTTGGATTTTTTGTTTCTTTTAATGCGATTGCGCAGTTGGAAACAATGAGAATTGGCATTAGGTGACCAGCTCTTCATGGAGAAACAGCAAGTTTTCTTCTCAGACTGTGCTCTGTAGCACCAGTCTAATTATAAAAACCGCACTCAGAGATTTTGAGTCAGAGGGATAGGTTCTCAAAAGTCATCTTCAAATATTTCTCACGAGGTTTTTCTAAGAGCATGTTATTGAAAGACTGGTAAAGGCAGGCTACAGCCACAAAGCCAAGATTAGGCTTTTTAGTTTAAAGCAGTTAAGAAAGGCTGGGCAGGTTGGGTTTAGGGGATCTCTTTTTCCATTTACATGGAACTGGATTGAAATACGACTTAGGGAAAGGACCTTAATGACAGGGCAATGTTTTTGGAAGATTTTAAAGCTATATTTAGTTTGAGACATATTTTTGTACCCAGTAAATTCTTCTGCACTAGGTAATTTGGGTCTTGGACTATTCCTAGACTGTCTACAATATCCAAAATATGATGGATGCTTCAATTAAAATCTCCCTCCTGTGACTTCAAGCCACACCTGTGCTTTTCGAAAACTACTGAAAAGTTTGCTAAAAGGTAAATCTGTCTCTGGATGCCTACACAACAGGACGCAACATGTGCCACAGGGGAAAAAAACCTGCCTGACTAGAGAAGCAGCCTTTGCAATAGCAATGACAGTAAGAATCTAAGATGAACACACATCAACACAACAAAGGTAAGATAAGAAGTCAGGAGTGGGCACAGGGGCCAAATCCAGCCCTTCAGATGTTTTAATCTGGCCCTCAAGCTCCCGACGGGGATCAGGGTCCAAGGTTTGCCCCGCTCCTGTGCTCCAGCCGGGGAGTGGGGTTGAGGGCTTGCCCCACTCCATACGTGCCGTGGCTCCGCATGGCTCCTGGAAACAGCAGCATGTCCCCCCTCCAGCTCCTATGCGTATGGGCAACCAAGGGGGTTTTGCACGCTGCCCCCGCCCCAAGTGCCGCCCCCACAGTTCCCATTGGCCAGGAATTGTGACCAATGGGAGCTGAAGGGGCGGCACCTGCGGACAGGGTAGCATGCAGAGGCGCCTGGCCATGCCTCCACATAGGAGCTGGAAGGGGGACATGCCACTGCTTCCAGGAACTGCTTGAGGTAAGAACCAGCCGGAGACTGAACCCCTGACCCCCTCCCGCACCCCGACCCCCTGCCCCAGCCCTGATCCCCCTCCTGCCCTCCACACCCCTCATCTTCAGCCCCACCCCAGAGCTCGCACTCCCAGCCAGAGCCCTCCCCCACCCCAACCCTCTGTCCCAGCCCAGAGCCCCCTCCTGATCCCTGAACTCCCCATTTCTGACCCCAGCCAGAGCCCTCACCCTAACCCCCAATTTTGTGAGCATTCATGGCCCGCCATACAATTTCCATACCCAGATGTGGCCCTTAGACCAAAAAGTTTGCCCACCCCTGTAATAAATACTAAACTGTTTCCCCTCCCTGCTCCAATCCCCAAGGGAAGGGAGGAGCTAGTTTCCTTTGGAAGTTGTACAAAGTTGCAGTTTACATGTAAAATTGCAACCAAAAGCAGAAATAGAAGTATATTAGAATAAAACATATATATGTTGTCTCCCTTACCAGAGGGTTAGAAGAAGTCAATAACTCCGATTTCAGCTCCTTTAAAGTATGCAGTAAAGATGCTATAGCTTCATCATTTGATGCAGACCAATCATTAACTGTTCTGTTAAATACAAATTATAATGTTTTCAGTAAGTGGCTTTGTTTGCTGTTATTTTAGATAAGACTATAACATTAATTATAACTTTTTACTAGAGTGAGCTTTTTACTTCTGGAACTTTAGAGGCATAATTTAATTGTGGTGGGCTGAGAGCAGCAAGGTTTCTTAACTTCTAGGGTGGAAATTCAAAATAGTGCCAGATATGGTTTTAGCCCACAGGCCTATAGTTTGAAACTCAAGTCTCTATTGTGCAAACTCAGAGAAGTGAGAAATCCTATTAAGAAATATAAGAATTGACATACTGGATCAGACCAGTGATGCAGATAGTCCAGCAGCCTGTCTCCAACTGTGGCCAGTGCAAGCTACTTCAAAGAACAATAGCTTAAAATAATTTAAATATTCTTACTACTCACTTGTCTACAGTTTTATATATGAACTCATTTAGGTGGACAGCAGCAAAAAGCAATTGTTGCCTTATCTTCTCTAGTTGCTGCTGCTGCAGGTGCAATGCTTCAGTCTCGGTTGCTAAGGACAAGTTAGCATTATAATCATTTTTTACAGGACATGAAGAAAGCTCTTGCTGACTTTTATGAGAGGCAAGATTTCGTTCTTGTTCCTCTAATTCTGCTAGTGTCTGCTGGAGCTCCTTGATTCTGTGTTCATCCCTCTGATGTTGCAACTCCAATTCATGCTATTGGAATAAGAATAAGTCGTCATCGATAATTTACATGTACAGACTGCCAGTAAACACCACACTCAGAGATATTACTAAGTAACAACCACAGCTCTCCCTGAGATGTGTACCCTTGCTGATAGAACTATGTAGAACAAGCCTTTGAGACCAAAGAACCAGAGAATACCGCAAGGAGGAGGGTACTTGTCTAATTGTTTTCACTTAAAAAAAAAAAGTTAAAATTAAAATATTAATTTCTGCTTCAGCCCCCTGAGCATACAAATTAGAGTGAGAATTCTTCTGCCACAGACAGAAGAGAGAGAGACTTGTCCACAGACAATTCTGGCATCAGAACAGTCCCCTCAACACTGCCTGGCCCTCAAAGCTCCTGCTCATCTACCTCTGAACCAGCAGCTTCCATTCTCTGCCTCTGATGGTCGCTGTCCTTCCCAAAGACAGGGAGGTTGTGCATAAAATGTGCAACAGGGCTCTCTCAGGCAGAAGCTGGGATATTTTGCCCCTCCTGCCCTCGGCTCACTTCTCCATACACAAGGGCTGAACCTCAGAGCCCTTTCCCATTCAAAAACTGCTCAGGAGCAAGATCAGGCCCTTGTTCATTGCAACTGCATTCCAGGCAATGCACATGACCTACTATGAGAACCAGTGCACTGTGCTACATTCAGGTATGCTCCCTCCGCACTCTATCATAGCAAACAAAGCCTCAGGAGCAGCTGCTGCACAAGGATCATGCTCAAGGGGTCATTTTTCCTGTAACCCCCTTATAGCCACTCCATGTCCCTTCATCTCCTTTCTCTGACAAGGACAAAGAAGAAAAATCTTACTGTGGTAAACACTCCTGAAAACAGCCCTGTCAAGAGCAGGCACAGCCTGTACTTACACTCCTCTACCCCTAAGAGATTTTCCAGAAGGAGGCAGGGTCACAAAGACAAGTCCCACAACAGTGTTTCACTTCAACAGAGGAACTCCCCAGCCACAAAAACAAAACAAAAAACACCCAACAAAAAAATCAGTACACACACACACACTCCCTTGCTTTCCTAGTCCTGCTGGAGACAGCAATCACAGCCTAGAAACCAAGGAGAGAAATGTCTATCTGAAGAGAGAAGAGTACTCTGAGGATGGAACGGATAATGATGAACCTGAGCAAGTCACTCTTGCACTTCAGCACAGAGGACTTCTACTTTTTAAATTGACACTCTCCAAGACTCTGGATTGATCAGCAGAGGAGAAATGTGGCCAACATTAGATGCCTTTTCCACTCCAAGGATGAAGGTCCCATCCCCACGCTCCCCCATGTGACCAGGTTTGCTCAACATCATCAAGAAACCCTGTGGCCAAATGGATAACATACTACCCAAACCCAAGGCAATTCACAAACAGCATAGGTTGCCCAAATATGTCTTGAGAAATGGGGAACTGTCCCTAAGGTGGGCTTTTAAGTGACTTCCAAAGTAAGAGACTTCTATGTACCATACACAGGGCTGCGTAGAGAATGGAAATTCCATTTCACTGGGAATTCTGAGGTTTCGAAATTTGTTTTCATTCCGATTTGAAACAAAACCCAAACATTTCAAAATTCTTCACAAAAGAAAATTCATCCCAGAAATTCATTTCAGATCAAAATATTTCATTTCAACAAAATCAAAACATTTCACTGTGATTTCAACTCTTATTTTATACTACAATATATATGAATATACAAAATAAAAATTCAAAACAAATTTGCTTCAAAAGGAAAAATCAGAATGAAATGTTTCACAAGGTCCAAATGGGATACTGTTGGAACTTTTCTCCTTTTTTCTGTGAAACAAACTGTTGATCTTTAACACAATTTCACAAAGCATTTTGATTTCAACAGAACTGCATTTTCTGATGGAAAATGGCTCCCTCAAAGGTTTTCCAACCAGTTCCACAAATGAAATACTTGACAAGCTCTAGTAAATAATATAGTCTACATACTGTGATCTACTATATGGTATAGCAAAATTATCTGGCTATTTCAATATAATGGCGGATTTGAAATTGAAAATCTCACCAGTCTCTCTCTGTCTTTCTGCCATTCCTTCCGTTTCTCAAATTCTTCCTTTTCTTCTTGTCGTCTCTCTTTTTCCCTTTCTTCCTTCTTGCTTTTCTCCTGTTCTTTCATTGACCTGAAAAGTGTCTGCAATTGTTCCCAATCAACTTTCAGTTTTGCCTCTCTTTCCCTCTGTATCTCCAAGGAGCAGATTACCTCCTGTTTTTGACTCTGAAGAGACTCCAATGTAGCTCGTAACTTGGTACTGACTTCTCTTTCCTTTTGTGTTTCTTCACAACACATTTGTACCTCAGCTTCTAGCTGTCTCTTAGATTGAATGGCTTGCTGGTGTGTCTTCTCAATTATAGCAGCTAGCTCCATAGCACGGGATCGCTCTTCATCCAACTGAGCCTGCAGTTCTTGCACAAAGGTTTGTTCCAGCAATGATTCTTTATGCTTACAAGAAGAATCTTCATTTACTCTCATACTCAGTTGTTCTGTCAAAACACGTTCATGGTTCAAGGCATTCAAAAGCTCCAAGGAGTGATTCTTCTCCACCTCCAAATTTCTCTGTAGCTCTGTCAGTTTGTTTCGTTCTTGGGACAGTAAAGCCTCACATCGAGAGTGTTCAATTTGAAGTTCCTTACGGAGATTATTATTTGCTGATTTTTCATGCTCTAAAGCCACTGACATTTGATTATTCTGAATAAATTGCAATTCCAAGGCAGCCTGCAATTCCTATTCAAGAGAGGTACACATATTAACATTATAACACAAATGCTTATTTGCAGGCTACGCAGACTCTCTAATGTAACATTTATACATTGCATTTATTTATTGCATTTAAAACAAATTAAGAAGCAATTAGAATAATTTACTATTAAACAATTAAAATCTAGACAAAGGACATTTTCCAATGCTTAATGACGTACTAGGCATTCAGGCTAGATTGAGGAGCATCACACCTGGTGATTAATTCCAGAAACACACTTTTTCCTCTTCAGACTAAAGAGTTATAAAATGAGAGCACAGACATTTACAAATATTTTAATGGGTGACAGTTCCTACAGTAGCCAATCAGATTGCCTAAATGACATTGGCAGTGGATATAGGCTGGGTTGATCTTCATTGTGGAAGATTTAAAAAAAAACAAGAACACCCCAGATGAGGTTCTGCTCCTAGGGCAGGAGAGTCCTTGGACTTTACAGCTTCTGGTGGTTAAGAAAGCTAGCACTCCGAAAATAGTAAATATACGTGAATCCTTTCTTGTAAGTCAACCTCTTAGTCAGTGCATCTCTCATAGCCGTTCCTGCAGAAGAGTGAGGAAGTTTAGGTCAGGGTAGTTTTGTTCTTCTTTTGTCTTGGCCAATATGGCCTCTTCTTTTCTCTGCTTCAACATGTTTTTTATAAGATCCTTGTGGAGGCTTTGGGATGACAACCCCACATCTATCCCCATGGCAGAAAAAGAACCCCCACCCCGAAAACAATGTAAATAAAGAGACAGATCCAAAAGGAAACTCAGACAAGACGGAATTAAAAACATATGAGCTATCTATATAAGGTGACTTACTGAGAAAAACAGGTGAGTATTGTTTTTGAGAGGTGATTCCTGTGTTTTTCTAGGTTTCAGAGTAACAGCCGTGTTAGTCTGTATTCGCAAAAAGAAAAGGAGGACTTGTGGCACCTTAGAGACTAATCATGCTCAAATAAATTGGTTAGTCTCTAAGGTGCCACAAGTCCTCCTTTTCTTTTTGTGTTTTTCTAATTTGGCTCAGGCCTACCAGAAGCAAACACTTATTTACACAAATATAGAGGACAATTATTTCTAAGAGAAAAAGAAGAATATTCTGCAGCAGCAATTAACAAGCAACAACTCCTGTTAACTTGGGAGGAAGTAGGAGGAACTAATTACAGACAAGTGCTGACTTTTATAGCTCAACAAGTTGTGTCTAGCTATACCAAGACAGTACCATTATAGACTAGATGCTCTAATGTCAACCTGAAACAAATGGGAGCAGAATGCCTCTGTTCTAGCTTTGACAATTCTTTCAGTCACTTACTAGGGGCAAAGAAGGAGAAGTGGTGAACTGTTATTTACATGTGAATACTTTGTTTTTAAGACATGAAGATTCTTATAACCAGAGTTCTTTGAGCGGCTCTACATATTCCCATCTATAAGGATCGCGCTGCCTAGTGACATCTAACAGTAGACCCTTTTCCAAGCAGTGCCTGTTGGAGCACATGTATGCCCCCTCCTATCTGTCTTCTCAGTATTTTTGACTGTTCCATGGGTGAGGTTATATAAGGGGACACTTTTCCCTCTACTTCCTCAGTTCCTTCCACCGCTAACCCAGACAGACCATAATAGCACTCTGAGAAAGAGGGGAAGGTGGGTAGGAAGTGTAAATATGCAGTGTCATCTTGAAGAATCCTGGTTACAAGACAATAATGTCCATTTCTTCTTTGGGTGGCTCTACATATTTCCACTTGTAGGTAGTTTGACAAGCAGTGCTGAAAACCCGGGAGGAGGAACAGAGTCCTAATTAAATCACCACCACTCTGCCAAATTTTATATTCAATCTAGAAGCTACATTCAGAGCATAACGTTTAGTGAATGTGTACACTGTCTTCCAGGTAGCAGCCTTGAAAATTTCCCTAATAGGAACATGTTTAAGATAAGCAAAAGATGCTGCTACTGCTCTAGAAGAATGAGACTGGACCACAGAAGGCACAGGAATTTCTGCTAATTTGTAACACTGACCTATGCACTGTTTAACCCATCTGGAAATAGTCTGAGCAGGAACACTATGACCCATATGATTCTTAGTATAAAAAACAAACAAACTAAATGATTTCCTAAAACTATTAGTTCTATCTCAGTAATATGCAAGAATCCTTCTAGCATCTGAAGTATTTAACATAGGCTCGGCCTACACTGCAATTAGACACAGGCGGCTGGCCCTGCCAGCTGACTCAGGCACACAGGGCTCAGGCTGCAGGGTTCTTTAATTACAGTGTAGACTTCGGGGCTTAGGCTCTGCAGCCTGAGCTCTTAGACCCTGGACCTGCCCACCTCGCAGGGTCCTAGAGCCCAGAAGTCTACATTGCTATTAAACAGCCCTGCAGCCCAAGCTCTGTTAGCCTGAGTGAGCTGGCATGGACCCACCATGGGTTTTTAATTGCAGTGTAAAAATACCTGCTGACTCCCACTTATTAGCATGAGGTTTCTGGGGAAAACCTGGTAAATTAGTAGTCTGATTGATAGGAAACTCAGACACTATTTTTGGTAAAAAAAAAAAACAGGGATTAGGTCTAAGAGCCACCTTATCTTTATGTAAATTCAAGTTAGCCCACAGGGTGTGCAATTCTCTCACCCTTCTGTCTGACGTTATATCAATAATGAATACCACTTTAGTAGATACATAAAATAAACATTTTGCCACGGGGTTAAAGGGTGACCTCAGGCACACACAAAACCAGATTTAGATCCCAAGGTGGGACTGGATTCCTTAAAGGAGATTAGATGTAAACCTTTATCAACCTTTTAACAGAATCATGTACAAACAGCAATGTACTGTACCATTTACTAAAACACAGTAAGCTGAAATAGCTGCTAAGGGAACTTTTAAAGAAGAATTAGATGGCCCTTCATATTTTAAGTATATTAAATATTCCAAAATACAGAGTGTGGAAGCTGAAATTGTTCCAAGCAACAAATCCAGTCCTTTTAAAATAGTAACACTTTTAAAAGGAGACAGTTTTGTAATATTAAGCAATACATTCTGTATCAACAAGGAACGAGACTAATCCAAGTCTGATAGCTCAGTCTGTCAAGGTGAATGCACTGTGGTTCTGGATGAAGGATGTTGCCTTGTTGCTGTGACAAGAGACCTGCAGACAGAGGAAGACTCATGTAAAGCCTGTATGACAGCTGAAGCAGATTTGTATGCCACCATTCTCTTGGCCAAGCTGGGGAAATCAATATAATTTTTGCCATGTCCTGACAAATCATCTTCACTGCTTCTTCAATTAATGCAAAGGGGGATGGGGGAAGCATATACAGAAGGCCCTATCCCCAGTGTAGAAAGAAGGCATCCAAGATGGACTGACTGCTCTTGACTGACCCAACACAAGAAGGTATCTTGTGCTACTTGATCCTTCATGGATCCTTCATCGGATGAAGTGAGCTGTAGCTCACGAAAGCTTATGCTCAAATAAATTTGTCAGTCTCTAAGGTGCCACAAGTCCTCCTTTTCCTTTTGCGGATACCGACTAACATGGCTGCTACTCTGAAACCTATGGTTTTAGTGTTGATACTCTCCTAGATTGCAATGTCTTAATGACTATGCAAGGCAGACTGAGACCTTCTAGTACCTCCCTTTCAATAACCAGACTGTTAGTTGAAACTGACGCCATTTGGGGTTGGAATGAAGAAAAGGACCTTGCAGGAGGACGTCCAGTCTCCATGGAAGCTGGAGTGGGGGGCTCCAATGTCAGCTCTATCAGGTCAGAGACCTTGGTTCTTGTCAGCCAATGAGGACTTATCAGTATTACCGTTGCCCGTTCTTGTTTTATTTTCAGGACCACCTTCCCCAGTAGTGGAAATGGTGGAAATTCATAAAGTATGTCCTGCAGCCAACTGTACGATTAGGCATCTATCCCCATGGATGTGGGCTTTGCCTCACTTATGAAGTATTTCAGTCTCTTTTTGTTCATATGATTTACAAACAGGTCGGCTGAAGGGTGGCTGAATGTGTGAACAATAAGGTCAAAAACCTCCTGATTCAGGCACCGCTTGGAGTTGCTGACCTTGCATCTGTTGAGTCATTTTGCCTTTTGGTTCAGGTCACCTTTGATGTGAATTGCTCTGAATGAAAGGAGGAACTGTTCCACTGACTTCTTCATTTCCGTTGCTTCCACGTGTATTGCAGGATTCCTTGCACCCCCTTAGACTGTAGTTGTATTGTCTGATTGAACCATGATGTGTTTCTCCCTCAGGGTGGGCCGGAACCTCTGCAGAGCTAGTTTGACTTCTCTCAGCTCTAGGATGTTTATGCTATGACCCTTTCCTCCTTGCTCCTGACACTCTGGGCTGTTTGGGTGAAGTGAGCTCCTGAGCCCTCCACGCTGGCATTGGTTGGAAGGACTAAAGGTTCTGGAAGGCAGATGGGCATGCCTTTGCGGACATTATTGTGGGCTGACCACCACTGTAAGAAGTTGAACACCTGTGTTCCAGGGAATGGCCCCACACCTTTAGTATGAAGGCTTCAAGACTTCTGATGTGTGATTGTGCCCATGCAGTGATCCCTATGCAAGACACCAGGAGTCCTACCAGTTGGAGACATACAGTTATGGTAGGCCTTCTGCGGCCCAGGAGCAAGAAAATAAATTCCTGGATGGAACCAGAGAATTCTTCTTGACACTGATGATGAAGCTGCTTGCCTGGAGGAGATTCAACAACTGAGATGCCACCCAGAGCACTGCTGACTGCAATGGACCTCTGATCAGAATGTAGCCCAGGAACTGGTACAGATGAGTTCTCTGCAACCTGAGTCTTGCTATTACCACCAGCAGCATCTTTGTGAAAACCCTGGAGGCCAAAGACAGGCCAAACAGGAGTGTTTGGTACTCATAATGTTTCCTGCTGTGGGCGAACCTCTGTCTGTGGTAACATGGTCTCATGGGGATATAGAGATATGCATCTGCTAGATCAACTGAAGTGAAGAAGCCCACCCAGGCCAGAAATGACACCTTAGAGGCCAGAGTCTCCATATGAAACTTTTGTTTTCTTCATCCACTTGTTGAGCCTTTTGAATCAAGAATGGCTCTGATAATTCTCATGTGCTTCTGTACCATGAAGAAAATGGAGCAGAACCTGGAGAACCTTTCTTCTGATGGAACACTGACATTCTGTACCTCAAAGCAGCACCCTGGAACCCCCATATTCATCACTATGATATCAATAGGATATGTTCTGTACGAAGTATACCTTGTGAGGTATCATTTTAGAAGTCTTGATCTGTTGAACAATAATATCCTGTTGGATTGTATGTGCTGTCATTGTACGTGAAGTTATAAGTATTGCTAGATGTGTTACTGAAATATATTGTGAGGTTGGGAATGCCCACAGGCAGCCTTTCAGTTGCAACAAAGGAGAGCCCAGACAGCATTAATGGCCCATCAAGACAACAATCCACTAATCTAGAGGCTCCTTTGAGAAGGCACATACATAATGGAGACTGCTTGACCAATGAGGATTGACTGCCCCCCATATCACAGCAAGGATGTTTCTAGCAGCTGAAAGAAAAGATAAAAAGAGAACCAGTGACATCATCACTTGGCCTCTCCCCCCCCCCCCCCCCCCAACCCCATCTCAACATCTGGAAGAAAGAAACTTTGAACTGGGGAAGAGTGGTCCCAGGCTGGAAGGTGGTCCAGTCTGTGTACTGAGAAACTGTAACCTGCTTGTACCATCTTTTAGGATGAGATACTGCTTGATTCAAATCTTGCTTAGTCTGTTTAAGTTAGAATTAGACTGCAAAAATGTGTTTGCTTTTTAGGTAATCAACTTTGATCTCTATGCCTCCTACGTATGAATCACTTAAAATCTATCTTTCTGCAGTTAATAAATTTTGTTTTATATTTTACCTAAAAACATTGTGGTTTTGAGTTTAAGTGCTTGTGAAATCTCAGCTCAGGTTACAAAGGGTAGTGTATATCCATTCCACACTGAGGAAGTGGCCAACTTATTAATGAGTTTATACTGTCCAAGGGAATCTTGAGCAGTGTAAGACAGTACATCTCTGGGTGCAAGGCTGGGGTGCTGGGGGAAATGGCTGGAGCCTCTATTGTTGGTTCCTGAGTGGCTGGGAGATCATTCCTGTAACTCAGCTGCCTGTGGATGGCTGTGTAAGTGCAGTGCCTGCCAGAGGTTTTTATCTTGACACGAGCAATACAGTGCGAGGGACAACCCAGGCTGGTGGGTTTGGAGGGCTCAGCAGTCCCACAGTCCAGGTTGCACCCCGGGGACCTTGTCACAAACACACACTCTAACTGCCATATCCAGGAGTTTCATTGTGAATCAGATTGTGTTTTATGGGGCCACTGGAACTGGGTGACTAGATGAAGAACAGATGAGGTGGAGCCTGCAGTTCAAAGGAGTATCCGTCCGTGGCTGACTATTTCCCTGACTCACTTATGTGTGGTCGATGAAAATCATTTATCTAGGAAATGGGAATTCCTGCCCCATAGCTTCAGGTTTGGGCAGAGGCCTGTGCAGTCTTAGTCAAAGTGCATTTTGGGTGGGCCTGAGGTCACTGAACTTTCACCACAAACCACAATTCCACTGTTGTCCATTGGGAAATCTGTTATCCCTTGGCTGGTACCTCTAGGAGGATGAGGAGCGTGTCAAAGAACAGTCTATTATTCTCTCCTCAGGGACCTTACTAGGGAGGAGAGAGACTGTCTGGATTTTGCTGCATTGTCAGCCAGCACCTTATTCAGCTTTTCTCCAAAAAGGAGGGAGCCTGTAAACTTAACATAGACCGGCTTAGAGTAGGGGAGGAGTCAGAAGATATCTCCTAGATTTTGTGTGCTTTTTCCTCTTCTGTTTAGCCCTTTAGATTAAGCTTTTTAGTGTGCTCTGGGAGCACAGAAGTTCTGCTGCGGCTTTGGTGTGGTATCTTGCAGCTAGCTTTCCTTAGCTTTCCTTTCCTTGCAGCTAGCTTTCCTTGAATGGAGCCCATTCAAGAGGTCTATGTCAGAATCCTCGCTCGCTGGGTCCCATTCCCACTGGGAGAAGGAAAAGAGGAACTCATTATCAGAACCCTCCTGATTAGCTTAGGGAGGGAAGGGGGCTGATTAGAAGCCCTACTACTTTCCCCAGGGCACTGAGGACCCACTTTAAGACTTGGGGAGCCCAAGGGGACCTTTGTTCTGCCAGGGTCCCCTGGCACTTTACCCTGAGTCAAGTAGTCAGGGTTTTCTTCAGTGTGCACTGGAGTTCCTGGTCCATTTTCCCCCCATTGGAGTCCTGGCTGTTTTGGTGTGTATGGGATCCCATCTGCCTGTCCAATTCATAGCCCCGGGACCAAATGGAGTTAGGGCTGGAAGGCTGGGCACAGGCTGGATACAATGTATCATCTGTCAAGTCTGGGAAGGCTGCAAAAAAGATGTGTGGCACACAGGTAATTACAAAGGCTGATCAGGCTAAGGGCATGACAACAACAGAGAGTTTATAGCGGTGCTGTAAGTTCTCGAATGTTGCTGCTCTAAGCAGACAGGAGAGAGGTCTCCCGTTGGCTTAACTACTTCAGCCTCCACGAGTGGAAGTAGTTATGACGGTGAAGGAGCTCTCACACCAGCACTTATATCGTGTGTAGTGGGCCTAATTCACACCCCCGAGCAACAGAAGTTATGCTGACACAGGCTTGTAGTGTAGCCATAACCCTAAGATGGGGGAGTTACCAAAAGTTGCATTCTGCTGCCATTTGTTCCAGACTGACCGAGTTTCTAGCTTATAGAGTAACTCTTGTTCAACCCAGAACATAGTCAACATCTGTAACAAGGCTAAGAAAATAGTGTTGGTTGGTTGGTTTCGTTCAACAAGCTCTTCAACAAGTTTCCAGGCAGAGGTAGCAAGTGACAGCCTGGCTGAATTTTCCTCCATCTATTCATACAAATAATCATTGTACATGGACTGATTCATAACCCACTTGATATAATAAAAATCACAGATTTTAAATTTAACTTAGAAGAAAGAGAACAAAAACAAAAAGCAGTTCAGCTGACCTGTGAAATATGTATTCTATTAGAAACTTTCCAATTACCTGATTCTCAGCCAACATCTGACAATGCTTTCTACTCACAATCCTAAATGATCATGCAGCATGTGTCTACAGTACACAGCATGCTTGTTAAGGAACTTGGGGAGCAGTTACAAATTGTGAAATGAAACTTTATGGCAGGATCAAGTGGAAGTAGAAAACTGTCTTAAATACAAGTCTCCCTTAAAACAGCAAAAAAGGCACAGGAAGTTGCTTGTTTTTTGTAAAAGAGGGAACATGGACATGGGTGCAATTAAAAATGACATTTTAAAACTTTCAGTTTTGAGCAAGTCCTCCAGAATCACTGGGATTGAACAAACAAGAGACGAAAAGGGTTATCAGAGATTAAAAAACAGGAAAAAACTCTGTTTGGGGAAAGAAGTGCAACAGATATTTTGTTAATACAAGTCAGTCTACTTATGAGATAAGCTCTGAGAATCTCATTAACATGCAGCATGTTACCTCTAATGCTTTTGTCTTTTCATCCTCTCTTAGCTTATGCTGAAGGTGTTGTTCTTCAAACATATTTCGTAACTCTTTTTCTTTCGAATGTTCATTCTGTATGTCTTGGAGTGCAACTGTCAGATCTTTTTCTTTACTTTCCAGTTCAGAACTGCAACATTCAGCAAAGTTACAAATGACACTTATCTCAGTTTAGAATGGATCATCCTTTTTGTTTTTAAATATTATTGTTTTGGAAAGAAATCTTTTCTTCAGTATTTTTAACCTTTCTTTCCATTGAAGCAGGAGCAATTAAGTCACTTTGCAACTCCTCTCACAAAACAAGTGGGATAAATTTTATAATTTTGTTAGTTGGCCTACTGTCTCTTCTACCTTTTTAATTTTTGCTCTTTAGCTGTGCCTTTAAAGTTGACCCCCTTCCTATTTTAACTTCTGAAAAGGGAGCAGTCAGCTATACTCAGCAGAACTAGAAATCATAGCAGCTGTTGATGAATAGGATAAGCTATCTTTCCTTGTGGCAGAGCAACCCCAGTGCTATATGGGAGGAAAAACTCCACCAGTGTACACCAGACCTACAGGGGAGAGAGAAAACAGGCCCAAGCCTGATGACCAGGCCACTAACTTAGCCAAGGAAAGTTACCTAGCTCTACCAGACAAACTAGAGCCAGTGGGGAAGGAACGAGTAAGACCTAAAGTAGTATCAGAGGCAAAATAGAAGGTCAGGGCTTCGAAGAAATTCTAGTCTCACCAAGATACAATGCCTCTGCCCATACATTGTGTATCATCAGCTGCAACTCCCACCCTTGTCCATCAAATTTTCAAATTTGCATCACTGAGCAAAAAACAACAACAAATTAGCAGCCAGTAAATATTCAAAGTAAATTATTTCATTAAACTCTACTTCAGTATAGATTGGCAGAGGTTACCATTTCTTCATTTCCCTTGCACATCAGAGGGTTCCAATCCATTTCTGGATTTAACCAACACAAGTTCACTACAGATTGTTAATGTAGCTCTCAAAAAGTACTCCTTACCGAAGCTGGTTCATTTCCCTCTGAAGCTTTTGCAGGGATTTTTGTAGACTTTCATTCTCTTCTTTGCTTTCATAAAGCTCTGATTTCAAGTCCGATACTGCAGATCGCTCCTGCTTCAGGAGTTCAAGCATCTCAGAGGCCCTCTCCTGTTCCTCACTTAGAGAGTTCTGCAAGTCACTAGCTATGGTTTTTTCCTGCTGAAGATTATATTCTAATAATTCAACTGGGAAAACAAACAAAGTCCATTTGTATTATAATATATTTAACAACTCTGTTCCCAATTATATGGGTTTAAAAGTATAGACAAATATGTGGACCATGGCTACTACTGCTCTTCCCGATCCTCTGCTTATAAATAACTCAACTTTTCAAACATAATTTAAATAAAAAACATTTTAAAGGATTATACAACTCCTGTTTTACTGTTAGTCTCTCATTCAGTCTCTCATTCCCATTCTCTTTGGCTTTGACTGGTTCATCAGAGAACTGGCTCCTCTTTGGCTTTTAACTATTTTGATAAAACAATAATTGCAACCAGCCACTTAGTAACATCTTCCATTTACCAATTTTCATAGATACACACACCAATATGGAGACTTTTCTGAAAACCCTAGTTGTTGCTTGCTATTCTTAAGTTTTCTACCTTCATACATTCCTTGACATTCAAGTCGCCCCCAACTTCATCTTTGCATAAGATAAACCAAAGATAATTCACCTCTATTTTTATTTTAAACTTTTCAAATATAGCCTTTTCTGAACCACAGGTATTTTGACAATCTGCCCTCCCATCCCCACAAGAAACCCTAATGAATTCACAAAATGATATCTGACGTCAGAATTCATTTCTCAGAATGTTTACTGCACTTTCCCCCTCTCCCCTCCCTAATTTTTTTTGTCTGTTTGTGTGTGAATGAGAGTGGAAGAGCAGATGAAAAGTGTTTCCTAGGTGCTACCCTTCCTCCGAAGTTGGTGTTCTTGTTTACTCCCATGATCCTCTGCATTAGTAAGAGTTTCCTGTAGCTGCTGCAGCTTCTCCTGGTTTTGAAGATGTGTCATTCGTAGCTGAGCTCGAAGGTCCTGTATTTCCGAAAGTAAGCTGTTCCTATCAGAAGACAGAAGGTGCTCTAAAACTATCCGCTGCTGTTCTTCCTGAAAACAGACCAAGCCCATTGCAGACATCAGGTGGGTGGGAGGAAAATAAAAAGACTGCAACTTGTAAGTAATATTAAATTCCCAAGCATAGTCCAATTCTTCCCACAATATAAATCCTTGCGATCCCACAGGTCATGCTCTCCTATATAATAGGTTAAACTTTATGGAAACAATGAAGAAAAGTAATTTAAGATGATCAAACTCATACCCCATTTTATTAACTCTCAAATACTGAATTAAGTAAAAGAATGCACATTTTTGGTTTCCCTAATAGGGTGTTAGTTATTGCAAACTCTCTGGCCTGATGCTAACCTATTAGCGTGAAGTTAACCAAAATCACATCAGGACTAATTCAGCTATGAATTTTGCCAAAGAAACATTTGTGTAGCTAGGAGTAGATGTTGTCTGCTTTCATGTGAAGCACCTCCTTCCCCGATCACAATCTCCTGAAGACCAACTGATTGGCTGATAAACACTACAATCAGTAGATCTCATCATGAAATGTAGAGAAAAATGGCAGCCAAAACAAAGCCTGTATAAAAACCCATTGCTCGTAACTTGTTTAGATTGCAGTACTAGATTTAAGAGCATAAGAGATGAGACTGGAAAGCGAGGGAAGCATTCGTGCACTGTGCCCACAACCATGGCCTCCAAATCCAGGGAAAGAAAGTAAGTGTTAATACTCCAAGGCAGTCTTACTTGTCGTTTCACAATATGCTCCAGTTTTTCCACTAATGAACCTTCATCCCCAGAACCGGGATTGCAAAGGTGTGACTGCAAGTTAATTTGAAACATGTTCCGCTCCTTCTCTAGCACAGCCTGAACTGCCTGGAGAAGTTCTCCTCTCCAGTCCAAACAAGTATCTGAAGATTCCTACAGGAACAGAGTACATTTATTAGCATCTATACAAAAAAACAGGCAACTTATTTTAAAGGAGGTACAACACACTTTATCCTGGATACCTTGTCTCCTCTATCTTCCACTTTGCTAAGGTAATCCTTCAATGATTGTATTGCATCCAGCAAGGTTAGTCCTTCTTTTTGCCATCCCTCAGCTGCTGCAGACTGCTGAATGCTTTTTTGATCACTAAGAGGAAAGGGATGTTCTGACAAAGCCAGTATTCTGTGGCTGTCCTCGTACACCATCTTCAGCACAGACTGAAAAGGGACAAAACATTTTGTATAAACTGATGTTATAGTACCAACAGAATCTAAAATGCTAAAAGATCCAGAAAACGTTTTGGAATTCATGTTTCTGCAAATTAAGTTTAAACGTGATCTTATATTCAGAGTGTTTTCTAGCAGAAGGAGCTGTCTGCACTATAAACTTTAAACAAAAACACACAGATGAAACAGAAAAAATAAATATAAATAAAAATATAATATAGATTGTAAGTTAAGAAGAGGAGGTTACTCACCTGTAACTGGAGGTTCTTCGAGGTGTGTGGTCCCTGTGTATATTCCACACTTGGGGGCGTATGAACACCATACACCAATGCCCATTAAGCAACATGTGCGTTGTGTCCCCTTGTGCTCCCAGCCAAGAGTATTATACATTGTGTGGGTCAACGCCTCTCCAATCTCTCTCTTACTGTCCTAGAATGTAGTCCGAAGCAGAGGGTAGTGAAATACGGATAGGGGCCACACATCTTGAAGACTCTCCACTTACACAAGTAAGGAACCTTCTCGTCGTCGTCTTTGAGCGATGGTCCCAATGTGTATTCTACATGTGGGTGACTCGCGAGCAGTGATCAGAGCAGAGGTGGGTGCAAGGATGCCAACAGAAGGGCAGTCCTCAGAACAGCCTGGCCATCTGCTGTGCCTGTAGCTGCCACTTGTGCAATGACATTGTGCATTGTGAAGATGTGGATGGAGTGCCAGGTGGCTGCACGACAGATGTCTTGCCGAGACACATCAGCTAGTGAGGCTGATATGGCGGCTTGTGCTCACAAAGTGAGTGGTAACTCTATCAAGTGGGGGTATGGCAGATTGGTTGTAGCATTCTCGGATGCACACAAACTCATTTGGAGAATGAACTTCTGCCAATCTGTACAGAAGTAGAGTTTAATGAAATAATTTACTTTGATTGTTTACTGGCTGCTAATTTGTTGTTGTTGTCATTTCAGACTTGGTCCCTAGGGCAGCTAACACAAGCAACAGCCAACTTTCCAACAATTTTCAGGCAGCATAGTGTCTACACCTAACATGAATGTCCCTCCTACCCACTAGCAACTGTACTCTTAGTTATTAGTACAGCTTCCACCGATATCGTAGAATACAATTAATGGCCTAGACTAGTGCATTTTGCTGCAAGGCATGCCATGTGCCTACGTGACTTAGATGAAAAATATTCACAAACTTGGTGAATATTTCAAAAACAACAAAGGAAATTTCTGGCAATAAACCAAAATTTATTAAATCTGTTCTCATATAATTAACCCCTATTGTTACTAGATGACATCTGGGGTCCAGTGAAATGAGTCATGAAACTAGATGTGATGGTCTCAACTTAATTTAACACATTACACAAAAACAGCATCCCCAAAACATTTACAGCCTTAACAAGCCAAACACTGGTAATTGTTTCCGGTGTAATTATCAGGCTGAAACATCTTTCTCAACATGAATTCCGTGCCTCCAAACTATTATATGATGTACAGATGTTTCCTTGTCTCATTCCAGGGAAGGTCATTTAAAATTTAAAATAAATACTTTTATAGATTATTTTAATTAGAAATATCCTACCCTGGATATAGAGATATGGGTAGTTGCAACTCACTTTTGGAACATTAATATAAGCAATTTAGACGTATAAATATTTAAAACAATTAATACATGCATCTAAATCTCTAGCTCCTCCAGTGGGTCCCATACCACTACCACTGAAGAACCAACAGAAGCTCCTGCAGCTGAGAGTCTCTCTTCTGAATAAAAGAACAGGTCCAAGGAGGTACATACCCATAACCATAAATGGCAAGCTATCCTTGCCTATTCCCTTCAGAGTCCCCAGCTGAGGTTGATCAATCTTTGATCTGCTAGGAGAGGGGAGGATGGAATAGACTGATAGATCCCACACTACCTATATGAGAGTATTTAGGCACCAAAACTTAAATCCAGTGAGTTAACTTCATGAGAGCCTGAGCGCAATAGTGTGCTCCATATAATGGACTCCCTCTGTTTGAGAAAGGGAAATGTTTCTTAACTGATGATTTTCTTTCTTCACATTCTTCTACGTCAGTTCACATTTTGTTTATAGTTCCTCACATCCAACAGATGGAGGCAGAAAGAATGGTTATTTCCTTTGTACAGTAACTTTGAAGTTTGAAATGTGTAGTCCCTATGTGCATTCCACTTGAGGTGCAATGTACTCCATGGGCCTGAGACTGAAAGATTTTTCATTAGCAGTGTTAGATGTGCCCTTTTCCTCCTTGGCCTCCCAGCCAAAGGTGTAAGGAGCAGGGCAGAATGGACCAAGTGCCTCTCCAATTCTTCATCTATCACGAATAATCTTAGGATAAAGATCTGAAGCAGAGGGAAAGGAGGGTAGCTAGCGGAATACAGATAGGGATCACAATCTTAAGGAACTCCATTTACTGTAAAAGGTAAGTAACCATTCTTCCTTTGGGTGATGGTCCCCATGCGTTTTCCACTTGAGGTGACTCACAAGAAGTATTCATCAAGGAGGAGGGTGCAAGAAACTGACTGAAGGACTGATCTGCCAAAGGAGGCATCTGCTGTTGAAGCCTGCACCAGGGCGTAACACCTCACAAAGGAACACATGTAGCCTCCTTTTGTTGCTCTACAGACCACTAGTAGAGGGATGTCTCGCAGTATCCACAAAAAGAACAGGAGGACTTGTGGCACCTTAGAGACTAACACATTTATTTGAGCATAAGCTTTCGTGAGCTACAGCTCACTTCATCGGATGCATTCAGTGGAAAATATAAAATCTCCCCACTATATTTTCCACTGAATGCATCCGATGAAGTGAGCTGTAGCTCACGAAAGCTTATGCTCAAATAAATTGGTTAGTCTCTAAGGTGCCACAAGTCCTCCTGTTCTTTTTGCGAATACAGTCTAACACGGCTGTTACTCTGAAACTAGTTCAGATGGAATTCTGACATCTCCTTCAGAATGAACTTAGGATATAGCCACGTATGGAGGGGGGTCTACCATGAGAGCTCCTAGCTCTCCTACACTCTTCGCCGAGGAACTGCTTAACCCCCATCTCTCAACCAATGGGATGCTTCCCCTCTCTCTGCAGGCACTGGAGACTGTTGAGTACTATTGCTAATGCCCTGGCACCAGACCCTGTCCTCAAGTTCCATCCATCATTTTTAATGCCTCCAACAGTGAAAATGGTCTTCAATTAGCACATCTCCTGCTGCAGATTTCTGCCTGTATTTCCGCCATTTTTTAGAGTAACAGGCAGACTTTGCTACCGCAAGCCTGCCTCTGGCCTTGGGAATAACTGGATCTGTGAGGTGTTTTCACTCCCTGGGCCCCCGGTACAACACTTTGCTATGGGGCTTCCCCATCAGGATAGCAAAGCAGCCAAGAAAACATCACACTAAATCTAAGGAGACGTTTATTCTGTGAACCAGCTTTTTCTGGAGTCTGAGAACAAATGATGCCCCACTGCTACCAGCTGGCACATGTACCACCAGGATGTGAGACTCAAAATCAGACTAGCATGTTGGGGCATCACCCCACTTCAATGAATGCAGCTGTGACTCCACCATGGAAAGGCAAGACAAAGAGCAGTAAACCTCGTCCTAGAGAGAGCCAGGGGAAGGAGAGAGATGGGAAGGGAAAGGAGGATGACCTTACTGCAGCCAGCTCAAGAGGTAAATGATTAGTGAACATATACGGGGTAATGAATTAAGCAGTTGACTTATAGCTAACAGCTTTATAGAATTTATATTTCCTAGTGTTTTGGTTTAAGGTGAAAGACCACAACCAGTTCCTAGTATACTGGCTTTCCTACTACATATTACCTTCAATTGTGGTGAAATCGTTTCTTTTTCTTTCACTGGGTCCATTGCATCTTGAAATATTCCACAGTACTGCAGATAAGCCATGAAACTAGCATCCAGGTGTTCAGTTGGTTCTAGCTCCTGATTAAGTTTAGCTGCCAAATCTGAACTGGTATCTGAAAACAAACACGAAATAGAATTACAGATTGAACAAATCTGTTGTCGTGCAACCATAAAAGCAGTGGACACAAAATAATAGATTCCACAGTCAAAAGTTAGAGATGCTGTTGTAGCGTTCAATAGACAAGATATGCCTTGAATGATTAATAACTACAGATTCCTTCTGGCTCTCAATAATTAGAAAAGTTGTCCACATCTGTTTATCCCAAAACAGAATCCGCCTATGATGATGATAAGAAAATGGTTCGCATCACAAGAGATACTTTATCTAAGGAACTTACAGATCAGCCAAAGTCAGGAGTTCCTCTCTCCAAAAACAGAAATAAAAATGGCTAAATAAGAGTATGGTTAATCCTCTAGGCAAGAATCTCTCAGAACTTGCGTATGGATAAAACCCTCTAAACAGAACTCCAAGTAACCATCCTGCTTTACTATTCAAAGTGGCCCACTGCACATTTGTGAGTGGGATAGCAGAAAATTAAGCAAACTAGATATGACTGGCTGTAAGACTGAAGATCAAATTGGGCAAACTGCCTGTTACACCAAGAAATCCAAACCACGTCTTTACCCCAAATTACAAACCATACATGGTTTTCCTTGTAAATCAAATATACCATGGATAATCTGTCCTTCTCCCCAAATTAGAAGTGCACATTCGCTTGCCTTGTGAGTCAAATCTACGTACTTCAATATGTGGATAATGTCTCTTGTTCTATTTTAAGTAATAAATAATGTGAAATGCTTATGTACAACCAAATATATGGAGTATATCCTCCAAATTTAGAAGATAAGGGATTTTACTGGTTTTCACTCTAAACAATTGTTGTATTCTAAAAGTATTAATTGTTTGACACAAGGCAGAAGGAATGATGGAAGATATAAGAACCAGGGTATAACTTTGGAATATTAAGAGAAATTGCTTAAAAGGGGGGATCCCAATTAATAGTAGAGTCTAACAATGAAATACAATCCTTGAAATGGATCAAATGTAAAAAGCCTCCTATAAGAAAAAGGACTGGATTAAAGAAATTTGTTATACACCAAAATCATCTATTGGATACCAATGGAAGCAGGAGAGAAACTAAGAGTACGTCTACACTGCAACATAAGCTCCGGGTTCACACTCCGGCTTTAGCCTAACCCCCCTTCCATCCAGAGAGAGAGTCCAAGCCTGAGTCAAGTCATGACCCAGGGTTTAAGCCCTATTGATTTGCAGTGTGGACACAGCCCCATTTGATTCATGCTCTGGGAGTCCACCAAAAGTATCCTACGGACCAACTTTCTTTGTCCTCTGGAGAGTCATGTTTTCCCAACTGCACCATGAACATAGGGTTAAAGTGGCCACATTTTGGGAGAGTGCTAGGAAGTCTGGAATATGGATGGTTGGACTTCTGCCTGCATAATGGAGTGCAGACGCTGGACCTCCAGGTTGGGACCCGGGTTCAACAATTCCTAAGTTGGAGTTAAAAAAAAAGCGTATACACTCAAGCCCTAGGTTAACAAACCCCAGGGTCTGCTAACTTGAGTTCTAGTAACCCTGGGCTTATGTTGCAGTGTAGATATACCCTCTGCAAGCTGAAATCTGAGTACGCACATGACACATGTCCAACAGGATTCAGAAGGTGGTCCTCTCCAACAAGATAGGACACTAGGGTACATAAACTGAAGTCATCATGCACTCAAGAGAGTTGATTGGCCCCAACAAGAAGCTGCAGAATCCTAAGTACAACCGACACCTGGACCAGCCATGTGGAAAGAACTCTTTCCCCCATCCCAGGGTTAACAGGATAAGAAGTGGTGAGATTTCATTTTAAAGACTGTGTTTCCCCTTCTATAATAAAAGTAACTGAAGGTTATCTTTCTGAGCCTAGACTCTCTAATGAGACCTCCAGCAACCATAGTTTAGATTTTAACTCCTTTATAAGACCAAGCAAATTAGCCTAGAAGACATTGAAAACAATACCTTTAAGCAATTGCTTTTAATATTCTAAACTTGTCCCTTTTGGGCCAATCTAGTCAAAGAGTAGCAACTTCCCTCTTAAAAGCACCTAAAAAGACAAGGGCATCCTCAGAAGTGCAATACGTGTTAGGAAGGGCGAATTTATGATCATAAGTAAATGTAATAAGAAATCTTGACAATTTGCATCGTTCCTTGATATAACAACTGCTGAGACTCAACTCTGGTCTGTGATAACTGTTTGCAAAACTATCGTGGTTGTCATGCACGCCTAGAACATTACTTGTTGTCTGCACTTCCGTGGTGAACTGTTGACTGTACACTAATGTGGTTCTGAGTGAATTAATAAATTGTTGTTTTGTTAAGAATAAGCTAGTGTCTTGATTGGAAAAAATACTGTGCAAGTTAAAAGCTGATCTGAAAAGAACCCACCAGTAAAACTAGTGTGCTAACACTCCCTGGATTCAATAAAAAGGGGTTATTCTATTAACACTTATCCAACTGGCAAACCTAAGTTGTTAGGTTTCCGCTTTAAAATGTAATTGGCACCTTGGCAAATTCATAAAAATGTATCCCCTTTCACACTTATATAGGTAAGCCCCTAAGCTTTACTGGAGGGGTTCCCAAACTTGGTTCGCAGCTTGTTCAGGGTAAGCCCCTGGCGGGCCGCAAGACGCTTTGTTTACCTGAGCATCCACAGTTACAGCTGCTTGCAGCTCCCAGTGGCCGCAGTTGCGCGAACCAAGTTTGGGAACCCCTGCTTTACTCGTATAAATAAATCATTGAGAACCCAAAACTACTACTACTGATTTTAAATATTTCAGTCTGGGAGAACCAACAGCCAAATGTAAGTTTCATTCAGGGTGTTTCTAGATTAGAAGAGTGTGTGAAGATTGGGTCGGGATGTATTAACCAGTTCCACCCTAATCATGATCTTTTCCCTACCATAAATGCAGTTTCACATTCTTTTCCTCAATTTAGCTAGTTGAGATCAACCCGGGATATGTCTCAACCAACTGAATCAAGGTGAAAAGTGTTAACTTGGATTTATGCTAGGGAAAAGGTCATGATTAGATTGTGACTAGCTAAAACACCCTGACCTCTTTCTAGCATAGACAAGGTAAGACGACATGGGAAGGAACCAAGACACTGTTCATTAATTCAGTATTCAACTACTTTTCTAAACAGTCACAATATCTAAAATAGGTTATTTTCTTCACCTCAAAGAGATACAAAAGTGAAAGAAAATACTTCTATTGATATATTTTGGGTCTCACTTACTGAAGTTATCATACAAGCAAAATGAGTTATACACGAACTAATAGAAATTAAGACTCACTGCTGACATATCCATCACTTGCCCCCTCTAAACCAGACATTGTTGATCGTAGGTCATCTTGTGAATCAGATGGAGTTAAAGTGAAGTCATCAACATCTCTCACCTGTTAAAAACAGTATATACACAACATGAATCAGAATCAGAAGACATTTCTGGCCCTAATGGATCCAGCTGCACACTCCTTACAATTTAAAATCACCACTAAATAACTAAGTTATTACAAAACGTCAAATCAGTTATTGCATTTATGGTTGTAAACACCGTAGTTAAGGCTACGTACAGAGTTCCTTTGGAAGCTTCTTCCGCCCATTTTCACTTATTTCTAATGGTCGTAAAAATGTCCCTTTAGGGTTGAAGTTCTCTATGCTTGGTCACAGCCAACGTGAATTTTTTGGGAAAATTTTGGGGGAAACCCTTCAGCTACTTTTCAGTTATGGGAGAATTGGGGAAACTAGAATATTAAAAGGATATTTTTACTCTTCTGTTACACAAAATGTTGAACAAATGCCTTCTTTTTGTGAGGGTAGAGAGGATATGAAAGATAAGTTATAAGTGACTGAAAAAATACCTCTGATGACACTCAGTAGGGGCATTAGCGGAGATGTGATCAGTCTCTTGTGAAATCCTGCTCACTGTGCGAGCATAATTAGAGCAAGGCAAGTTCTACATTCTTCCTGCCAGGGGCCAGATAATGGCAGGGGCTACTCTACTCGTAGGACAATCTCATGAGTGAAATTGTAAAATGTTTAACCGAAATTTCACATTTAAAGTCTTTGGAACTGTTGCAGGATTTACCAAACTTTAAATTTTCATTTAAAGAAAAACAGTTATTTTTCTGCTGGCAAAAAGTACGTTCTGCTGTGTAATTACCATTCAATTACTATACATTCAGTTAAGTATTAAATCTTCATTAAAAACTCAAAAAGCATTCAAATGCTTATTAAGAGATTGTTGATGAACATTTTCAAGGAAGAATGGTCTTAGGGGTATGGTACTGGACTGGGATTCAAGAGGTCTCAGTTCAAACCCCAGTGTTGCCACTGGCATCCTGGGTGACCTGGGAGTCTTTCCACTGATTTGAATAGACATCGGATCAGGCTTTCTGTATCTCAGCTCCCCATCTGCAAAATGGGGATAATATTTCTTTTCAGCCACCCTTTGCCTGACCTGCCTTGTCTATTTAGATTGTAAGCACTTCAGGACAGGGACTCTCTCTTACTAGTGCATGTAGAGCATGCCAACCATAATCAATACTGAAGCCTTTAGGCATTATTGTAATACTATCAATAATTAATTATAAACTCTACCAAAAGCAACTTCCTGCAGTATTCACAGCTGAGGCTGTGGTAGGTTGTCTAATGCTGAGGGCTGGGTCTGTGGTGAGATTTCACTGCAACAAGTGGTGGGAGGGAGGTATATGTTTATCAATATCACACTACAGTTTCCAATAGACTCTGTACATTACAACTCAGTAGACACATAATTGTAACCACTCCTCCAAGAGGAAAGCATGAATACATATAGAAGGTAATATATAAGCTATTTAGAGCAGAGTCTTTAACTTTTAATGCAATTGCACAGAGCCTAGAACACTACTGGCACCACTGTAATATAAATAACACTGCCTTTAAAAAAATCAATTACCATGATAATTTGGGAAGAGACACCTTAAACAAAACCGATCTTTTAAAAACTGAGGAAAAATATTCACATGCAGACAATTGTTGCAGTAAGTTGAAGACTCCCATGACAACATGTAAACTCTTCACTGAGTGCCATTAATTACAAGCGGAATTTCATCCCAACAGTCAGATTACTTTACCATGGCCTTCAATTTTGAATTGCCATGCCTAACACACCGAGTCCCTTCTCCCTGAACTTTCTGAAGCTGCCAGGATACCATGAATGCTCCAAAAGTTCCAAAATAAAACCCACACTCCATTGCCATTATTTATATTGCAGCACCAATCTACAGTGACGTCGAAAGAAAGCCTCTACCTTGAGGGGCTTACAGTTCAATCTAGTTTTCAGAAAACGAATGTCACTTACAGAGAGCAGTGATAAAATGATGTTTCAATACAGCCTAAAGCATGCTTCACTGTCTCCAACCAGGAGATGAACACATAAAAGATACCTGCTATGACACAGTATCTATTCTTCTTGATGTATACTTACCAATATTAGTTTCCATGGGAACACACAGAGCACATGACCCAGCAATAAAAACTTATTGGTGGAGGGATGGGAAGGAAGGATCTCACATTTAATATTTTTAAAAAACCCTGATAATTACCAGAATCCTTTTTTCCATATTTTGGTACTCAGCAATAGAGTAGGTACTTTCAGAGAAAGCTGGAGACTTTAAATCTAGTCTGGCCACTGCTTCCTCATTGGTATTAGCATACAGACTTTGATATCCCAACAGTCCAGGGGTGTCTCCTTGTACGACAGAGGATTTGTTGTGCTTCATTTCAAAGTCAGTGCTGTGTACACTATCAACTTCTGAGAAGGGTGTTAAGTGAAGACTTGGTTGAAGTTCTATGCTTGTCTCCTGCTTTCTCACAATCTCAGGTGAGTCCCATGAAGTCATATCCATGACTAAACGTTTAAAGTCCTTGGGTGTCTCTTTAGCATGCTCTGTGTTTTGTGAAAGGTTGTTCAACTTGCATTTCATTGAGTCTGGATTTTGATGAAATTCCAAGATTTGCTGATAGTGCTTTTTCAGATCTTGCAGCTCTCTGGCCTTGTCTGTCATCTCTGCTTCCTGAGTCAGGAGTGTCTCTTGCAGTTGCTTAATCTGAGTTTTTAGATTTCTGCTGTGAGTCTTCAAGTCAGCTATAGCTGCATCTTTCTCCTAGAGTGAAACAACACACATACCCATCAATTTTCTGTTTCCTGAATTCAAATAAAAGTTCCCACAAGTGCAAATAATATTCAGCTTCTGAGAAGATTCTTTTAAAACAAAATATCCAATTTGTTATTAATCCTTGCTATGATTATAAGAACTCAGAAATAATTCAACATACTTCCTCATGACAGTTTGGCCTTTCTTTTACCTCCAAGCCAAGATAAATGAATGCATCTAACTCTTCAGAATAGCTACTGTAGTAAAACAAAAACATTTAATACAGATTATATTAGTACACTACACAACAGCAATGTGTAAAGTAAACTATTAATGTAAATTTTTTAAATTACTTCCCTTTTGGGTTTCACTGGTATAGTTAAATGTAGCTGGCCAAGTTGTTTTTCGTTTTTTTTTAAACAGAGACATCAAAACACATTACCACTGGTATATGGGACATCTCCACTGAAGCAGGGCTTTTGCTGGAAAAGAGGGATTTTCCTATCCACTTCTACAGAACTGAACTATTCATTTAAAAAATTAAATTTATCCCTTGTAGTTGTGAAGATTATATTCATTTGACATTAGGAAGGTTAACGAATGCAGTGTTCTTTTTCTGAACACAAGTTGCTAAGAAGGTGTACAAAAGAATAGAACAAGCTTGTAGGGACAAAACCAGAAAAGATAAGGCACAAAATAAGTTACACCTAGCAAGGGACATAAAAAGCAATGTGAAGCGGTTCTTTAAATACATTACAAGCAAGAGAATGACAAAGGAAAGTGAAGGTCCTCCACTTAGCGGGGAAGGAAAGCTAATAACTGATGACATCAAAAAAGCTGAGGTGTTTAATTACTATTTTGCTTCAGCCTTCAATAAAAAGATTAATGGTGATCAGATACTCAACACAAGTAATATTAACAACAATGGAGATGGAATACAAGCCAAAATAGGGAAAGGACAGGTTAAGGAATATTTAAATATGATAAGATGTATTCAAGCCTGAAGAAATTCATCCTAGGGTACTTAAGGAACTAGCTGAAGCACTCTTGGCACCATTAGAATTATCCTGAAAAATTCATGATGGACAGGTGAGATCCCAGAGGACCGGACAAAGGCAAACATCAGACCTATCTTTAAAAAGGGAAACAAAGAGGACTCCAGAAATTACAGACCTGTCAGCCTAACTTTGATACCTGGAACGATACTGGAACAAATTATAAAACAATCAATTTGTAAGCCACCAGAGGGTAACAGGGTCATAAGGAATAGCCGGCATGGATCTGTCAAGAACAAATCATGCCAAATCAAATTTCCTTCTTTGACATGGTTCCTGGCCTAGTGGATGGAAAGAAGCAGTAAACATGATAGATCTTGATTTTAGTAAGGCTTTTGACACAATCTTACATGACATTCGGACAGTGATTAATTGTTCCCCATGTCCACAGAAGGTAGAACAAGAAGTAATCAGCTTAATCTGCAGCAAGGGAGATTTAGGTTAGATATTAGGGAAAACTTTTTAACTATAAGAGTAATTACATTCTAGAACAGGCTTCCAAGGGAGGTTTTGGAATAGTCAACACTGGAGGTTTTTAAGAATAGGTTGGACAAAAACCTACCATGGATTGTCTAAGTGTACTTGGTCCTGCCTCACCACACCAGGCTGCACTTGATGACTTTTTGATGTCCCTTCTAGTCCTAGTTTCTATGATTCGATGCTCCTGTCATGAAACTGCCCTGAGGCTCAAATCCTCAGCCAAGTGCACAGCCAGTCTGTGCACAGTGCAGTTGCTCTGAGGTTTGGAAGCAGTGCTACCCCCACAGGCTTCTCTAACCGCCAATCTAGCCTCTTGGCTACAGTAGTATCTATGCCACTTCCATCCACACTGTGGCAGAAACTGATGAATCCACGTAGTGGTGGACCCACCAACCTTGCCCCCAAATTTTAGTTCTGCAGTAGTCCACAGAGAACACGTGCACAGCAGCATACAGCATGTCAGCCATCTCCAGACCCTTACACACCTCTTACCAGCCACAAGAACACACAGTACATGTACTTCAAGCAATGGCAAGGAAGCTAAGTATTCTGGCTCGTAACCTACTGGATGATTTCTCAACAGCTTCCTGAGCCAGTAGAACTGAACCTTCTAGTGTCATAATGAATCTGACCCATCATCTTTCTAGCCTTCTATATTTATAATAGTAGCTTCTAAAAATACTACAATTATGAATAAGTAAGTACTAAAGGATATATACAATATACAAAAAGCGTTAACATGAAGAATACAGACAACTTGTAGACATATGAACAGTACTTCAGTCTTTATGATCTGAGATTCTACAGATCTCATTTCCAACATTGACATTTGGATCTTATTTCTATCTGAAGCCTTTGCTTTAATGACCAGGACTCAAAGCTTCTCTTTGAAACCACTTTAATATTAACAATTGGAGAAAATTGGCAATGATGAAAAATGTGCCAAATTAGCTCTCAGTCCCTTTCACCCCATTACTACCATTACTATTCCAACATACCTTTATGTTCTCCAGTATTTTACCAGTCTGTTCTTCACTTAATTCTAATTCCTTTTTCACACAGGCTAATTCAGACTTAAGTTCTTCCTGATGCAATGTCATCTTTGTGATTAGATCTTTGTGGTTTTCTGAAGTGTTTGTTGCCTCTAACTGTACTAGAATCTGTAAAAGAAAAAACAATTGTAGGTTGCTCTTTTAGAAAGTGAGCCATTTCCACGTTGGTGAACTTCATTCTGTCAGTTTTGGAATTCCTATCCAGGCATCAACTACAATAATTGTCATTTTAAAAGAATGAGCTCCCGTAAGCAACATTTTTATAGAAGTGCTGATAACTTATGGGGTTTAAATAAAAACATGTTTCAAGTTATTATTGTATATGTTTATTTTACAGAAGGCAGAGAATGAGGACAGATGCACTTCACACACTAGGGGAGGATTTCACCACACAATCTTCAGCACAACCTGTGCGGTTCTACTTATAAATCCAGGTGTGTATTTAGTATTAGCACTGTACCATCAGCAATTTGAGCTTCTAGTAACATTAACCAATGACAATTTGAGATCAAATAATTCTATTCCTATTACAGGACAGCAGTATCAACACTGCCTTCCTTAATGTTGGTGCCAACAGAATACATATTTGCTATTTATTATATGACTCATTACAAGAAAGGTCTCAGGAGAAGTATAAAGCATATGTTCTAAGCATGGCTGTATATAACAATCACCCTCTTTAATGTTTTAAGAAGCTGAGTAAATGCAACATTTGGACAGGCCGTGTAGTCTAGGGATTAGGGCAACAGACTGAGCTCAGGCACATGGGTTTTCATCCTGGGTCTGTCACTAATCTGCTGTGTGACCCCTCTGTAAGGTCACTTCACCTCACTGTGCCTCTGTTTTCTCTCCCACCCTCTGTCTCTCTCATCTATTTGCACAGTAAGTCCTTTGCAACAATCATACATGTGCCTGTACAGTGCCTAGCACAATGGGGTACTGATCTCCATTAGGGCCTCTATCTACTGTAATACAAATAATTATAAAAACATTTGCTTTGCTTAAGGATTAATACTTTCTATAACCACTTAAGAAGGTGCAAACCCATTGTACAGAAGCACACATCTACAGATGAACAACATATATGTAAGTGATTTTAGGCAGTATTAGTATTTGTCTTGTCCAATGTGTACCTGAAGAAAACACGAACGCAACATCAGTGAAGTCTAACTAAATTCACTATTGCTACCTCAGTGATAAGCTACAAAAGCCTAACTAGTGAAATCACTCCAAATGTTAACAGAGTAATTTCTCAACTAATGAGCTACACACAGTTGTGATGTTTGCATTGTGAAGCAGCATGTGAAAGTAATATGATGTAACTATAATGTTCTATGACATCATGACAGGTGTGCATGCATGTTTTATATCAGTAATACTGTAATTAATGGTCATTTATTTTGCTTAAGTCTCAGCTGTTTTGCCCTGAATTGGACATTGCAGAGACTGTAATAATGCCAGAGAAGCGTTTTGCCTAATCCATGTAGCGTAATTGGTATCTGGTCTAAAAAAGCCACTTTCCTGCCGTCCTGGCTAGGGACAAGTAATATGGTGTGAATGAGCAACTCTGGACTTTTATACGAGTATAGTTCTTTTGAAGTGGGCATCCTAAATCACAGAAAGGTTTCCTCCCCATGTGTGCATTCATACACCCAATCTCTCTCCCTCCGAGAGTGCTTAACCAGAGCAGGTTTGCTATGCATACTCTTGATACCACAAAGCACTCTTTGCTCTATTCCACCACCTTAGAGAAGCCTTAACCAGGCAGCAAATGTGTGCATAATTGGCACCTGCAGAGCAAAGCAGAATATGCTCCAGAGAAATGCTCTCCAGGTTAGGGCAGCTAATGAAATTAACGGAGATCAAATGATCTTTTCTGATTAACTGATTCTACACAGAGGGAGGAAAAGGGAACCTTGGTGATGTGTCCTCAGAATCTTTCAACTGTGTCAAATTTTAGAGGTGAGCTACCAAAAATATGTTTCTAAGTAGTTCTCAAAGACTACCAGAAAACAAGCATTCATTTATCAATGCTGATTTCCTTAGCTTATCTAGGTTGACACTATTGGTGCTCATAACATTTACCTTCACGCTTTCTCAAAAGCCTGAATGGTGGAGGAAATCTATCACCATTGTAAATTTTATCCTTAGTGAAAGCACCAAATAGTTCAATCTACACATTTTAGGCAGTGACAGCCAACGGTCGCACTAGCATCACCACACCAGTGAATTTCATACTAGTTAGTGCCCAGTGTCAGAATAAAGTTTCTAATTTTACAAGTTAATAAGATCAGACAATAAATCTCTTAGACTTACCCAGAGAGATAAATACAAAATGTACAACATCAGAGCTGACTTGACTCTTCAACATTTAAAAAAAGTTGTTACAAAAATAATGCATACCAATTTATCACTTTGGGAAACTGAAGCTGCAAATGACTGATCAGCATTTGGTCCTCTCTCTTCTCCCAATTTCTCCATTCCATTTGTATGAACTTGAACCTCTCCTTCTTGTTTTAAGACCAGTTTATGAAGTTTAGCTTCTTGATCATTACTTTGTTCCTTTTCCTTGTAGGATTCCAGCTGTGAATAAAGGTCATCTCTTTCAGAACACAGGGCTTGGAGTTCTTTCAAAAATTCCTGGATCTGATCTTTCAATTTTGTAGCATTTGCTTGAAGTTCATCTATTTCTCTCTGGTAAACTACTTCTTTCTGATTCAGTGTTTGAACCTTGAAATCAAGCCTGGAGACTTCTGATTGAAGGGTTTGAACTTCTTCAGCCTCAGTTTTCTGATGCAGATCCTTCTGTAACAGTTCACCTTCAAGCCTCACAATCTTTTCTGCTAGGTGCTGTAATTCAGCTGCCTCCACTACTCTCTGCTCTGCTACTGTCTTAATCTGCAAGTCGCTCTCTAAAAGAGTTGCTTCTCTCGCTCTCAGTGTATCTTCAAGCTCTTGAATGCGCGTGGACATGATCCCCATTTCACCATCTCTCTGAGAGAGGTGTGTTCTTAGAAGGCTATACTCCTCCTGAAATGCATCATACTGTATTCTTAGGGACGTTAACTCTGCCAAGTGCTGCCTTGAAGACTCCTGTACATTTTGAAGATTTTGTTCTAAAATTTCCACCTCCATTTTAAACTGAGATTCCTTCTCTTCAAGCAGCTGCTGCAGGGCTTCTCGAGCAGTTGAGACAAGTTCTAATTCTTCCTGAAGCTCCTTCAGGTTGGAATGTAGCAACACAGTTTTCTTATTTTTATCTGAATGCTCCTGAAAATCTAGTGATCCTTTCTTCAATTCATTCTGAAGGTTCTCTACCTGCTCCTCCAACCGAAGCAGGTTAAGGTTATCTTGGCTGTCACTAACTTCATGACACACGGGTCCAAGTTGTACCAGCTCCTTTTGAAGCTTCTCAATTACTCCATGAAGCTGCTCTACCTCTTCTGCTTTATCCCTATGCAGTCTTTCCTGGTCACCACGAAGGTGCTCAACGAGTAACCTGAGTTCATCAATTTCAGATTTTCCGTTTTCCATGACCTGAGAGAAAAAACAAGACTGAAATGCCAATTGGTACACAGAGTTATTTCTGTTGAAGTATCAGAATTCCCACTACTTAAAAGTTCATTTACCAAAACAACATATGTGCAATTTCAGTTACTAGAACGACCTCATCTTCAAAGCAGCCAGTCAATAAAACAGATTTAATAAGGGCTAGGTTTGAAAACCTTACCAGGCATCTTGTAGCTAAAACACTAACCTCCTTAACAGACATGAAAAAAGCCCCCACTCCCAAGAACAGTCCAGAGATAGTTCCCTGGTGAGAAGGCCAGTACATCCACTTCCCTCCCTCTCACAGCTGGAAAGGATGGGACCTCTCAGTTTCCCCAAAGAATGCTGTCCCTCAACCTGACTTGCAAGGACACCACCGTCCTGTCCCCGCAAAATGAAATCTTTCACAATAGCTTAATTAGTGTGAGAAGTTTGATTTTCCTTCCCCTTCTCGCAGCTGAAAAAGATGGACTTTGAATAGCAAAATATTTATTTTAAGTATTAGCATACCCACATAATGTATACTATATAATTACATACTACTGACTAGTGTTTTGAAAGGGGTTTTTGTTACATTTGATTCTTAAAAATTTAATGAAAATACATGTATTTTCAACAAATGCTTAATTCTAAGACTAAGAATTAAGCAGCTTCTCCCCTGAGCAGCATGTGCCATAAGAGAGTATACAGATAATAGCAAAGCTGAGAAAACCCACATTTGGGAGGGGAAGCTACTCCCTAAACACATCCATGTAGCCACCCCAAACTCTACTACAGTTTAAAATTGACAGCTGAACTCTGTACTACCAGGATACTTTTGTCAGGGGGGCATTAAGGGGGAAGGGAACAACTATTTAATGAACAATTCTCTCAGAGCAGCACATGTCATAATGCAACCTTCTGTGCAACAATTATTCTCTATTGCAGGTTTTTCCAGATTATGGAGAAGATGTGGCAAGCTGTATTAACATTAGCATAGGGACCTGTGGTGGAGGAAGAAGGGGAGTGATCCTTTTGTTAAGGTTGACATCCGGGGGTCTGAGTTTTCCTATGGGTCTAGTCCCATTACACGTTTTGGTGGCCATGTTCACCTAGCCGTGCTACAATTCTGCCAGTCCACACCTCTGTGAGAAGAGGATGGGTTGGAGCTATGCAACATCCTGAGCTGCAGAGATTTTCAAATATTTTCCTTTGAAATAAAAGAAAGAAATACATGGATCTATGTCAGCAACCTGATAAAATGGCAGCTAACTATTTGTAATTCATTAGCTGAAGTGATTACAGTTCAGTTCATCTTTAAATACCCCAATATTATCTCAAAAAAGTGGTACACTAGGACACATTTTAAAAAGCAATGTCCTGACAAAATGATTTTTTTGTGTGTGCGCCCCACATTTTGAGCCTCCAAAAGAGAAAATCACTCACAACTTTGGTCCTATGATAATATTGGGAACATAGTTAGCAAGATGAGTGAATGAGCTTCATTGGGTATGCTCTCATTTATCCAAATGGCCTGGGGGACATCCAAAAGTTTTGTATAACTGAGTGATTGGCTAAACAGAAGTGCTATTTTGAGATGCAGTTTCACAACAGTTTATCAATGATCTGGATGATGGGATTAATCAGACCCTCAGCAAGTTCACAGGTGACACTAAGCTGGGGGGAGAGGTAGATAAGCTGGAGGGGAGGGATAGGGTCCAGAGTGATCTAGACAAATTGGAGGATTGGGCCAAAAGAAATCTGATGAGGTTTCACAAGGACAAGTGCAGAGTACTGCACTTAGGAAGGAAGAATCCCATGCACCGCTACAGGCTGGGGACCGACTGGCTAAGCAGCAGTTCTTCAGAAAAGGACCTGCAGATTGCAGTAGATGAAAAGCTGGATATGAGTCACCAGAGTGCCCTTGTTGTCAAGAAGGCCAGCCGCATATTGGGCTGTATTAGTAGGAGCACTGCCAGCAGATTAAGGGAAGTGATTATTCCCCTCTATTCGGCACTGGTGAGGACACACCTGGAGTATTTCGTCCAACTTTGGGCCCCCCACTACAGAAGGGATGTGGACAAATTGGAGAGTCCAGCAGAGGGCAATGAAAATGATTAGAGGGCTGGGGCATATGACTTACGAGGAGAGGCTGAGGAAACTGGGGTTATTTAGTCTGCAGAAGAGAAGAGTGAGGGGGGATTTGATAGCAGCCTTCAACTACCTGAAGGGGGGATCCAAAGAGGATGGAGCTCAGCTATTCTCAGTGGTGGCAGGTGACAGAACAAGGAGCAATGGTCTCAAGTTGCAGCAGGGGGAGGTCTAGGTTGGATATTAGGAAACACTATTTCACTCGGAGGGTGGTGAAGCACTGGAATGGGTTACCTAGGGAGGTGGTGGCATCTCCATCCTTAGAAGTTTTTAAGGCCCGGCTTGACAAAGCCTTGGCTGAGATGATTTATTTGGTGTTGGTCCTGCTCTGAACAAGGGATTGGACTAGATGACCTCCTGAAGTCTCTTCCAACCCTAATATTCTATGATTCCATTATTCTAACACAGCTTCCCCGCAACCACAACATTGCCCTTCAAAGCTGCTGTTGTAGCTGAATCAGGATTAGGTCTCACTATCTGCTCAGAACCCATCATATGAATACATAGCACTAACAGGTGCTAAGAATTGAGACGTTATTAGCATGTGATTAACATAGGGAGACATCGGGGGGAGGGTGGACACTGGATTTGGATACCTAGGATTTTTGGATAAAGGGAATTTAGATAACTGGAACTATACTGTAATTAGTACTGCACGATTAAGTTTGTTATCCTTCAAGAAATTATTATTCTATAAACTATTATTTATCATTTCTATTATCGTAGTACTTAGAGACGCTGGCTGGAGATCAGGACCCCACTGTGTTAGGCAATGCCACCATCTTCCCTTACAGAGGGCAGATTAGGCTGAAAGGGGGCAAATTTTGGACTACACGGAAAATGGTTAGGTTGTATGGCAGAGTAAATATTATTTCTTTACTTTATTAATTTTGATTTAATATTTTAAGAGACACCAATCCCAGACTAAAAGAACAGGAGGACTTGTGGCACCTTAGAGACTAACAAATTTATTTAAGCATAAGCTTTCGTGAGCTACAGCACTGACACCCATTAAATACAACCCATGATGATAAATAAAAGCAGCAGTAGGTCCCCCTCAAAAGCAACCTGTCAATCAAATAACAAAACAAAATATCCACAATAGCAAATTCCCACTTCCACCGAGTCTCAAAAGGGATCCTTAAAAATGACCCTTCCTAAATGTGGTCTTGCCTATTTTGTAGTTGTGTTACTGCATATGGCATGAAAAACCTTCACCAAAGACAGAAAATGACCAGAGAAGGACCGCATAACACAGGTGGTTAGAATTACAGTGGGATGTACGGAATTGATTGAGACAATCAGGAATTCCTGCCCTGGAAATTGAAGGCACATCTGTTTTTTTTTACCCCACTTGACACTACATAACAAGAGAACACAAAATTAAAAAGGCAGTAAAGTTAGAAATCAACAAAAGGAAATGTTTGTTTACTCCATTTATAATCACACAGTGGGACTGATGAGTACTGGAGCTCATGAAACTGAATATTGTGCCTTCGTATTTTTCATAAGTTTGATAATTGTGTGATTACTAACATCTGAAGTTACACAAATTACGGTAATAAAAGTTATCAAATCTCATGTTTCAGATTCCAGGCTAATGCCTGGTAGGGACAAGAAAGGAGCGCTCCCACTCCTGTGCACAGCACTGTGCAACAGCTTATAGCCTCTTCGCTTATTTTAACCCTCCGTCTGTAGCACTAGACACTCCCTAAGGAAGTAACTCAATATGGGAAACTGTTTCTCCTGAAGACAGTAACAATACTAACATACTAATTATTTTTTTGAGGCAAAACATCGGATCTATTCCACCTGTAATACCACATACTCTCACTCCGTAACACCACTGTTTCTCACCTTATTATCTGTGGCACCATCCAGTTCACGCTGGAGTCTCTCAATCTGCTCATTCAAATGATCAATTTCTTGATTCTTTTCCTCAAGCAAAGCCTGTGGGAACTGCAAAACTGCTGATTCACTATTACCCACCTTCTGACTTTGCATCATGTGGAGTTTTGCTATGTCCTCCTGATTGAAAAAAGAAACAAATCTGGATCATAAAAGAACTATCCATCCCCCGTATAATATGAAGGCAAAACTGTGATTTTAGTCAGTATTTGATTTTTAAGTCCTACAAACTCAAAACAGTTAACACTATAAGGCAGCCTCTTTCTGCTAAACTATTTTGATTACACCCTTACTACTGATAAATTGATTTTCACCAATTCCCCTCCCTCTTTCTCCCCCCAGGAGATTTTTTTTTTTTAAACTATGATTTCCATGGGATTTTTAAGTCCTTACTTCAAAGGACTAAGTTGCCAGGCTGAATTTTCCAGTTTTGAGGGAAAGTGTTGGACTATAAAATTGCCCAACTGACTGCTGATCAATTCTATAATGTGGAATATTTATTTAACATGGCTGTACAGGTCGGGAAATGAAAGCTCACATTAAATGCATTTTTTTAAAAAAGAACAGAATAGAATTTCATCAGTTTAATAAATACTATAGCAGTTTCACAAGAAATCAGCATTATAGTTATCAATGGTTCGTTGTCAAACTGGTAAGGTATATTAGTGTGGTCCTGTAAAGGTCTGCCCCGGCTCCAGAACTATTAAATATTTTAATTAATGACTTGGATAATGGAGCAGAGAGCACACTTATAAAATCTGAGGATGACACCAAACTGTGTTGGGGTGGGTTGCAAGCACTTGGGAGGACAAGATTAGAATTCAAATAACCTTGACAAATTAGAGAATAGTTCTGAAATCAACAAGATGAAATTCAATAAAGATAAGTGCAAAGTACTTCACTTAGGAAGGAAAAATCAAATGCACAGCTACAAAAGAGGGAATTACTGGCTAGGCACTAATACTGAAGAAAAGGACCTAAGGGCTATCATGGATCACAAATTGAATATGACTCAACAGCGTGATGCAATTGTGAAAAAAGCAAACATCGTCCTTGGGCATATTAACAGGAGTGTCAGATTTAAGACACAGGAGGCACTGGTGAGGCCCGAGCTGGAGTTCTGTGTCCAATTTTGGGGCCACACTTTAGGAAGGAGGTGGATAAAGTTCAGAGGAGAGCAACAAAAATTATCAGAGGTTTAGAAAACCTGACATGCGAGGAAAGGTTGAAAAAATTGGGCATGTTTAGTCTTATGAAAAGAGGACTGAAGGGGACATGATAAGTCTTCAATTTCGGGCTGATATAAACAAATTGATCATCAATTGTTCTCCATGTCCATTGAGAGTAGGACAAGTAGTAATGGACTTAATCTGCAGCAAAGGAGATTAAGGTAAAATATTAGGAAAAGGTTCCAACTCCAAAGATAGTCAAATACTAGAATAGGCTACCAAGGGAGGTTGTGGAATTCCCATCATTGCAGGTTTTTAAGAGCAGGTTAGACAAACACCTATCTGAGATGGTCTAGGTATACTCGGTCCTACCTCAAGGTGACAAGATGGACTAGATGGCCTCTTGAGGATCCTTCCAGCCCTACATTTCTAAAATTCTATGATGATAGTTTGTGTCAAAAGTAATTGAAATTACTACCAGAAATTGAGTTCTAAAAATGGTGGCAAACTATATAAACTCTGTATTTAAAAGAGAAGGTTACTCAGCTTGTGCAGTAAATGAAGTTCTCTGAGACGTGTGTCCCTGTGGGTGCTCCACTTTGGGTGTTGGTGCATCCCGGCGCTGTCGATCAGAGATTTTAGGTAGCAGTGTCTGGTCGGGGCACATGTGCGCAGTAGCAGTCTCGCGGTGCCACTGATGCCTCATGTAGCATGCACACACCCCAATCCCTTCCCTTCTGTCTCTACCATGGAGCGTTTAGCTCATACTCCGAAGTAGAGGGGAGGAGGGTAAGAAGTGGAGCACCCACAGGAACACACATCTCGAAGAACTTCAGTCATCGCACAAGGTGAGTAACTTTCTCTTCTTTGAGTGCTGTCCCTGTGGGTGCTCCATTTTAGGTGAATGTAGAGCAGTGCCCTGACAAGGATGGAAGGCACTTTGGAGTTGCGTTCATTGCTGAGGATAGTACAGCGAGGCCTAGTCTTGTGTCTCAACTTGAATTGAGTGTGATAGCATAATGATTTGTGAATGTGTGTTCAGATGCCCAGGTAGCTGCTCTGAATATGTCAAGAATGGGCACATTGTGTAGAAATGCTATGGAAGTCGATAAGGCTCTTGTTGAGTGTGTTCTGATGCCCAGAGGAGCTTTCGTGTTGTGTAGTGAAGAGCACAGATGGATACAGCTAGATATCCATTTAGACAATCTTTGCATAGATATAGCAGATCCCTTTGATCATTCTGTTATTGACACAATGAGTCTGGAGGATTTTCGGAAGGGTTTTATTCTGTCCAGATAAAAGGCCAAGGCACGGTGGACATCTAGCGTGTGCAGGACCACCTCTTGGGTGTTATGTGGTTTAGGATGAAATGTAGGTAAGTGAATCGGCTGGTTGAACTGGAACGAGGATGATATTTTGGGCATAAATTTTGGATGTGTTCAAAGTGTCACTTTATCTCTGAAGAATATTGTGTATGGGGGGAAGGGAGAGGGGAGAACATGAGAGCCCCGATCTTGCTCACCTTTTGCACCTACATATTGGTGACCAGGAATGCCACTTTCACAGGTAAGTGAAGTAACGAGCATGTGGCTAAAGGCTCAAATGGTGTTCTGTTTACACTTTTGAGCACGAGATGTAAATCCCATACTGGTGTTGGTTCACGGATGTTCGATACATATTGTGTATGCCCATTAAAAATCACTTAGTAATCAGATGAGCGAATATTGAGGTCCCTATTGATGGAAAGCTGTTATGTGCATGAGATGAACCTTCAGGAAAGTAGATATTCTAGAATTAGTGGGAGTGGTGCCTGGCTTGCAGATATTTGTTTGTTCTGGCACCATAGGAGGTAAGTAGTATGCATGCTATGTTTCTTGCTGTTTATTAACACTTGTACTTATTCCAAGCAGGTTAGTTCGTCGCATTGGAGCCATGCCTGCAGGTGAAGTTTCGCCGGGTCCTGATGAAGGACTTGACCGTTGTCCTGCGAGAAAAGATTCGGTAAGCGAGGGAGAGTGAATGGTATGCAGATCGCCATGCATGTCAGGTAAGGAAACCATGTTGGTACTATGAGTATTATGTTAGCCCTGTCAGTTCGTATTTTGTGTATTACTCTTGAGATTAGAGGTACTGGTGGGAATGCATATAGGAAAGGAGGGTTACATTTGATGAGGAAAGCATCCCCTATGGATTGTGTTTCTCATCCTGCTCATGAGCAGAACATTAGGCATTTCTTGTTTGCTGGCATCACAAACAGATCTATGCGTGGGGATCCCCACTTGTGAAAAATATGATGTGTTATTCCGTCGTTCAGTTCCCATTTGTGCTTTTGGAAAAAATGTCTGCTTAATGTGTCTGTCATTATATTCAGTCGACCCAGGAGGTAAGATGCTATAATAGTGATGTTGTGCTTTATGCACCAGTTCCATTGTTTTAAGGCCTTTGTGCATAAAGAGAGGGAACGTGCTCCACCCTGGCAGGTGATATAGAACATACACTCAATGTTGTCTGTCAGGATCCTTAATTGTTTTGTCTCGTATAAGGAGGAGGAAATGGAGGCATGCATTTCGGACTGTGCGTAATTAGAGTAGGTTTATGTGTAGATGTGTTCCTGTGGAGGACCATTTGCCCTGGGTGGTATGTTGGTTTAGGTGAGAACCCCATCCCATCAGTGAGGCATCTATTGTGATTTGGTATGGATGGCACATCCTGTTGAAATGGGAGCCATAGCAAACATTTGTTGGGTTTGTCCACCATTGTAGTGAATGTAAACCTTTGGGATTTGTGTGATTCTTTTGTTTAGGCTATTTTCCTGGAACATATACCAAGCTCAGCCATCTTTGAAGGCATTGCATGTGTAGCCTGGTGTGTTTGACAATGAAAGTGGTGGCTGCCTTGCGTCCCAAGAGTTGTAGGCAGGTTCGTGCAGACACCCACGGGCAGTCTGAGACCACCGATATGATGGAAGTAATTGCTATGAATCGGGTCAGCGGTAGTGATGCTTTGGCCGCAACTGAGTCCAGGTGCACTCCTGTGAAATCTAATTGTTGTACTGGGATAAGGGTAGATTTCTTTTAGTTGATTTGAAGCCCCAGGGAGTGAAAGAGAGATGGTTTGCCGGGTGCTTCATGCAGTCTCTGTCAAAGTGGTGCCTCTAAGTAGGCAATCATCCAAGTATGGGAATATCAAGATTCCCTGTCTGCATAAATGAGCTGCTACTACCGTTAGCATTTTGGTGAAGACTTATGGAGCTATCAACAGTCCCAATGGTAGTACTCTATATTGGAAGTGGTCTTGTCCCACTGTGAATCGTAGGAAAGGTCTGTGAGCAGGATGAATGGTAATACGGAAATATGCATCTTATAGGTTGAGGGCTGAAAACCAGTCTCCCTCTTCCAGCACAGGGATTATCGACTTCAGGGTGACCCTTTTGAATCTGAGAGTGCAGACAAATTTGTTGAGTTTTCTGAGATCTAGTATGGGTCTCCACCCCCCGTTTTTCTTTTGACTCAGGAAATAACGTGAATAAAATCCCTTCCCTTTGTGTTGCGGTTGAACTTGTTCCACTGCCCCTATTTGCAGAAGATAATGTACTTCTTGTCTCAGTAGGTGCCTGTCCATCATACGGTCTCTGTTGGTGCTGCAACATCTCGTCTCTGTTTCGATTGTATGGTTGGTATCTATGTCTCCCGTTGCAGGGCGTGTATATCCCGAGCTCTAGAGTCCTTCATGGAGTGGAAGACCTCATCTGCCTCTACGGAGAAGAGCTTGTCCCTATCAAAGGGAAGGTCTTCAGCCTTGTATTACAGTTCTTTTGGGATGACAGATGAATGAAGCCATGATACTCTGCGCATGACTATGGCTGTTGCTGTTGTGCATGCCGCTGTGTCTGCCATGTTGAGGGATGCCTGGAGTGCTGTCCTAGCAATAAGTTGTCCCTCATTGACAATG